ATTTCTGGATGTTAATTTTGTATACTGCTACTTTGCCAAATTCATGTATTAGCTCTAGTAGATTTTTGATGGAGTCTTTAGGGTTTTCTATGTACAATATCATGTCATCTGCAAATAATGACAGTTTCAATTCCTCCAATTCAGATCCCTTTCATTTTTCTTTGTTGTCTAATTGTTGTGGCTAAGACTTCCAGTACTATGTTAAATAAGAGTGGTGAAAGTGGGCATCCCTGTCTTGTTCCCATTCTTAAGGGAAATGCTTTTAGTTTTTGCCCATTGAGTATGATGTTGGCTGTAGGTTTTTCATATGTGGCCTTTACTATGTCAAGATATGATCCTTCTATTCCCACATTGCTGAGCGTTTTTATCAGAAATGGGTACTAAATTTTGTCAAATGCTTTTTCAGTGTCTATTGATATGATCATATGGTTTTTATCTTTCATTTTGTTTATGTGGTGTATCACATTTATTGACTTGTGAATATTGTAGCAGCCTTGCATCCTTGGGATGAATCCCACGTGGTCATGGTGAATAATTTCTTTGATGTATTGCTGGATCCAATTTGCTAATATTTTGTTAAGGATTTTGGCATCTATGTTTATCAGAAATATTGGCCTGTAGTTTTCTTTCCTTGTAGTGTCTTTATCTCATTTTGGAACTAGAATTATGTTGGTCTCATAAAATGAGTTTGGAAGTCTTCCGTCTTCTTGGATTTTTTGGAATAGTTTGAGAATAGGTGTTAAATCTTTGAATATTCGGTAGAACTCGCCTCGTGAAGCCGTCCAGGCCTGGGCTTTTGTTTGCTGGGAGTTTCTTGATTACATCTTCAATTTCCTTAGTTGTTACTGGTCTGTTCAAGTTGTCTCTCTCTCCCTAGTTCAGTTTTGGGAGACTGTGTTTCTAGAAATTTGTCCATTTCACGTAGATTGTCCAATTTATTGGTGTATAATTGTTCATAGTATTTTTTAATGATCCTTTGTATTTCTGTGGTGTCAGTTGTTAGTTCTCTTTCATTTCTGATTTTGTTTATTTGGGTCCTCTCTTTTTGTTTCTTGGTGAGTCTGGCTAAGGGTCCATCAATCTTGTTTATCTTTTCAAAGAACCATCTCTTTGTTTCATTGATCTTTTGAATTGCTTTTTTAGTTTCCATGTCATTTATTTCTGCTCTGACCTTTACTATTTCTTTCCTTCTACTTGCTCTGGTTTTTTTTTTGTTGTTTGTTTAATTTCTAGTTCTTTAAGTTGTAGGGTTAGAAAGTCAATTAGAAAATTTTTTTGTTTCTTGAGTTAGGCCTGTAGTGCTACGAACTTCCCTCTCAGAACTGCTTTTGCTGCGTCCCAAAGATTTTGTGTTGTTGTGTGTTCATTTTCATTGGTTTCCAGGAAGTTTTTAATTTCTTCCTTGATCTCCTTGGTAACCCATTCATTGTTTAATAACATGCTATTTAGCCTCCACGTGTTTGAATGTTTTTCCTGTATTTGATTCCTAGTTTCATGCCATTGTGATCTGAGAAGGTGCTTGATTTCAATCTTCTTGAATTTGTAGAGACTTAGTTCGTGTTCTAACATGTAGTCTATCTTTGAGAATGTCCCATGTGCACTTGAGAGGAATATGAATTCTGCAGTTTTGGAGTATAAGCCTCTGTAGATATCTATTAAATCCATTTGACCTAGTGCATTATTTAGAGTGTTTCCTTGTTAATTTTTGTATAGAGGATCTATCCAGTGATGTCAGCAGGGTGTTGAAGTGCCCTGTTATGATTGTATTGCTGTTGATTTCTCCTTTGAAGTCCTCCAGAAGTTTTTAAACATATTTTGGTGCATATATGTTTACCAAGGTTATATCCTCCTGTTGGATAGATCCTTTCAATATTATGTAGTGGCCTCTTTGTCCTAGTTATGGCCTTCATTTTGAAGTCTATTTTATTAGATATGAGTATTGCTACTCTGTTTTTTTTTCCTTTCTGTTTGCTTGGAAAAAATATTTTTCCACTCCTTCACTTTCAACGTACGTCTTTTGTTGTGAGGTGGGTCTCTTGTAACAAGATACATGAGCCATGCTTTCTAATCCAATCAGTTACTCTGTGTGTTTTGATTGTAGCATTCAATCTATTTACATTTAAGGTTACAATTGATATGTACTTATTTATTGCCATTCTTTGGTTTTATTTTTCTTCCTATTTTTCTGCCAATTACAGCAGTTCTTTTAACATTTCTTGCAGTGCTGGTTTTGTGCTAATATATTCACTTAGCCTTTTTTTTTTTCCTCTGGGAAGCTCTTTATTTCACCTTCTATTTTGACTGATAGCCTTGCTGGATAGTCTTGGACTCAAATCCTTTTCTTTCTTTTTTTTATCCTCACCCAAGGATATTTTTCCAGTTTTTGTACAGATAGAGTGGGAGGGAGAGAGAGGGAGAGAAACATCGGTGTGAAGGGACACATCGAGTGGCTGTCACCCGCACGACCAACCAGGGCCGGGGACAAACTGCAACCAAAGTACGTGCCCTTAGCGGGAACCAAACCCGGGTCTCTCCGGACCGCAGGCCGACGCTCTAACCGCTGAGCCAAACTGGCCAGGGCAGATCCTTGTTTTTCATTACCTTGATTACTTCATGTCATTCCCTTCTGGCTTGTAGTGTTTCTGTTGAGAAGTCAGCTAGTAGCTTTATGGGGGTTCCTTTGTAGGTAACTTGTTGCTTGTTTCTTGCTGCCTTTAGGATTCTTTGTCTTTAATTTTTGGCACTTTAAGTATTATGTCTTGGTGTGGGCCTGTTTTGGTTCTTACCTGGGGCTCTCTGTGCTTCTTGAACTTGTATGCTTCTTTCCTTAAACAAACTAGGGAAGTTTTCTGTCACTACTACTTCAAATATATTATCTAACCCTTGCTCATTTTCTTCTGGCACTCATATGATGTGGACGTTGTTATGTTTCATGTGGTCCTACAGTTCTCTTAGGCTGTCTGTTTTTTAATTGTCTTTTTCTTTATTGATTTTAGAAAGAGACAGGGAGAGGGAAAGAGAGAGAGAGAGAGAAACATCGATGATAGAAACAATCTGCATGCCCCCCACTGGAGATTGGACCCACAACCTGGGCATGTGCCCTACCGGGAATAGCACCAGTGACCTCTTGGTGCATGGGTCAATGCTCAACCCCTGAGCAACACCAGCTGAGCCTGACACATTTTAGAGGTGATCCTACGTCAAGGCTCCCCACAGTATTTCCTAAATCGCTAGTCTCCGAGTCGGCTCCATTAAAAATGAGTTGTATGATAAAATAAGTTTGGATAATGCTGCAGATTGCAGCATTGATAATAATGGGTGACAAATAAAGAATAAAGAATGACATGGTACAAGACTGACAGATTTAATGACAAATATTCTCTACTGGTTGCTTGAACACCAGAATACTGTCCAGGTAACCATTATTAAAGAAAACAATCTGAAAGTAAGGCAATTCTCACATATACAAGCACACACTCACACAAAACTGTTACTTTTAGGGTCATTCAGTTATTTACTATTTGTACAAACAGCTCTAAAATAACATTACAGTGAAGGACAGTGTGCACCAACTTCAGAAACACAGTTCAGACTGTCTATGAACACAGGTTGTCACTTTTCACTTTGACACAGGCACAGCCTCTTGATTTTTTTCTAAATCTTCTCCTGAGGATATTTTATGTGGCTATTTTTATTAATTTTATTATTTTTCTCTCTTCCCCAATATATACAAATGAAAACCTGTTCTTCAAATGCACAGAGGTCTCTGCCTATAAGGTAGTATTACGTTACGCCATAAAACATTCCCATATAAAAATCAGTATACAACTCTTTTACACATACGCACACCACATATGTAAGTAGCTATGAGTTTTCTACTTACACATATTATTTCAGTGGAAAATTAGCAATTGGTCAATTCCCATGCTTTCTAGCTTCGGGAAGGTAAATATAACCTCTCAAAATATTTTTTTTAAAAGACAAAACATGTAAACTATACAACCTATTTAGACATATACACCTGTTGTTGGAATAAAGGACCCTGGCACATAAATGACAGCGTGTTGCCAAGAAAAGGACATAGCATTTGAATAAAAACAAAAAGTTGAAGAACAGATAAGATGATCAAAATTGTTATGTACACGCTTCATGGAGAAATCAGAATGCTCTCACAAGAAACAGATCCACGGTCCATTCAGCCTCTCACGGTGTTAAGCTGGCACCCACGACAGTAGTCATGACCTTCCTGACAGTCAAATGTTTAAGCAGGCTCCATAAAGTATCGGTTCAAGTTCAACAGTCAATAATAAGGGCATGTGGTAAATTCCTATTCCCATTCCCCAAAGGAGAAGTGCAAAATCAATTTCAGTGACTCAAGAGCACACACAGGTCAACTATTTTATTGAGAGAAGTATAACAATTAGCAAGTAGGATACAGTTATATACAGATATAACAACCTGCAAGAGGTTAAGTTTAAGGAGGCTGATTTAGATCATTTTATGGTCCTTCCAGCTCTCCAAGTCCATGACTGCATTTATGGGCAGAGGACATTCAACTGTGCACGGGACAGTCTCAGTAGAACGCAAAGTAACAGACCAACCAACAAATCTTCCTCCAGAAAAGAAGTAAGATACTTTTGAAATGTTTTCAAATCTAGGGCAACACATACCTAACTAAAAAAATAAATAAATAAAATGCTTTGCTTCCTGCTAGAATATAAGGGGAGCAACTCCTGAAAGGCTCAACTTTTGAAGATACAGAAAATATTTTAAACTAATCATGGCCAGTGTAGTTTAGTGGCCAGGAGTGATATCTCGCCCATCCAAGGGTAGAGGGTTTGATTCCCGATCAAGGGCATGTGCCTGTGTTGCAGGTTCAATCCTCTGGCCCTCATCAGGGCATGCAGGAGGCAACCAATCCATGTTTCTCTCACATCAATGTCTCTCTCTCTCTCCCTCTTTCCCTTTTACACTCATTAAAAAAAAAAATCACTGGAAAAAATACCCTTGGGTGAGGATTAACAACAACAAAAAACAAAAACAAACTAACAAAATAAATCATGGGTCAAGTCCAAGAAACAAAACCCACAGGCCCATGTTGGAATTCCCCCAGGTAAAGCCGGGACAGCATCCTGAAACCTTCCGCAGCACAATTAAGCTGTTATTTTAGGTTGGCATGGACTCTGCTGCTGAGTTTCGGAGTCCTTTCAATGAAAAAGTAGAAAAAGGCTCATATTTCAGTTCTAAGTCAGTGTTAAAATCAGCTTCTCCCTCTTTCTCCTCTTCCTCTTCTTCTCTTCCAACTGGCTAGTAGCATCAGCAAAAAACATAACTTCGCTTTTTGCCTCACATTCCCTCTTAAGATACTCAAGACCCGCCATGTTGAAGCCGATAGCGTCCTGGGAGGAAAACAAGAAAGATGACATCGGCTTCTTCACTGCAGTGGGTTAAAGCTCGGGAGCTGGGACCAGTGCGCCCTCCTTCCCTGCCTCAGGTCGTGCTGTTCTCCGCTTCTGACCAGCTCCCATGACAGCCTCTCCAGAACAGACTGTGCCTGCCCAGTGCCGCCAGAGACAGGCACAGCACACGGCTACCTCTATGGACACACACACCAGGATCCCCTCGCTGTGGCACCCCCACAAACAGACTCACCCGGACTTGGCTGACTTTGGAAATAGTTGTTTCCTTCAGTTTTTCGATCACTGGCACAAGCATCTGGTTGCTAGTGATCTGCCCAAAGTGAATCCTAACGGGAAAACAAAAGCCATGCTATGAGGAAGGTAGCGGGCTGGCTCTACGTATCCCTTCTGCAAACAGCAAACAGACACAAGATCACAGCAAAAACATTTCCTTACGGCATAATGGGATAGTACAGAAATGCTTCTAGCAAAAGAGCTGAAGAAATGTCTTCCCTACTATTCAGTTCCAGCTGATGACAACTTAAAAAATACTGTCCTAGCCCTGGCTGGTTTGGCTTGGTGATTAGAGCATCACCCTCGAACTGAAGGGTCACAGGTTTGATTCTGGTCAAGGGCATGTACCTGGGTTGCAGGTTAGATCCCTGGCCCCGGATGGGGTCATGCGGAAGGCAACCAATCAGTGTGTCGCTCTCACACTGTTGGTTATCTTTCTCTCCCTCCCTCCCTTCCATTTTATCTCTATCTAAGAATCAATGGGAAAATATCCTTGGGTGAGGATTAAAAGAAACCCAGAAACTGTCCTAGAAAGTTTTATTACATGTTCAAACTGTGACCTAGAGTACCAAGATGCCCTTGATGAACTTGCTCCTTCACCCTCCATGTTCGCCCTCCACTTCGATGTGACCTGCCATGCCCAGCTGGGGGAGTGACCATCCACAGCCTCGGACACATGAGTATTCAGGTGTCCCTCAGAATGCATAACCTGCCTCAACAGCACACAAGCCACAGCAATGAGAGATTATCAGACATACTGCTGAGTATGAATTTATGTCCTCACAACTTGCCCCAAATTCTAATTATGACACCAGAACAAAATTAATATGTTGTTCTTTTGCTAATATCAGGATAGAATAAAAGGAATAGAGAAATAAGAATCAGAAAACAGGCCAATTCACCAACTTCACTAAACATACTTTTTCTTCTAACTATGGTTTTGGCTGACCAGTTTTTATTTTGTCCTCTAACAGCGTTTTAAAGAATGTTCGATTTGTCTCTGTTCCTGTTCTCTAACAGCCTAAACTCAGGGGCAGAGAGTGGGAGACAAGAATCCACTCTTAAGCCTTTGTAAATATATTCTTCTCAATTACATGTGAACAAGAATTCTTCGTATTTCAGGATATAATCTAATGAACATATTTTCCAATTTAGTTTCCACTATGTATGTCCTTCTTTTGCATTTGTACCTGTGGAGGCCTGGAAAATAAACCCACTATTCCCGAAAAGGCTGCTAGGACACACAACGGACCCATTAACTTAAACTAAACAGTTACAAAGGAGGCCACTGGCCGTTCGGTGATCCGGTGACGGGCTCTCGGCAGATACCAGAACCAGAGCCACCACGTCCGGCTGCAGCCTGCAGACCTGCCTGACGAAGCATCCCCAGCGACATGTGACCTCACAGCACTGTCCCAAGGGCACGACTGATCTCGAAGGATAAGGAATAATTCACGCCAGGCAGCATGAAATGCTGTGAGTCTCTGAAACCGAAACACCGACTTCTTCCCCGCAAAGCGCCCACAGCGGCAGACGAGGCTCTGCGGGCAGCTGCGGGGCGGACGTGGTCTGGCGGGGAACGGAGTTACCTGAGGAGGAAGAGGAGGCACCTGCACAGGACCTCCACGTCGGAGCCCCACTGGATGAACTGCTCAAAGAGCTGCAGGACGTCCGGCACGTAGGAGAAGGGCAGCACGAGCAGGGCCTCCTCCAGCTCACTGAGCGAGAAGACACAAACACTGGTCACGGCCCTCGCCCGGCCATTTCAATCCCTCCACGGCCGCCTCCCACCCTCCGTGTGACAGAGCTTCCCACGCAGGGCGGGAGGGACACTCTTCCGCACTCTAGGCGGGTCCTCCTTCCAGGTTTTGTTCTGTATATTTAGTATCCTACTCTGCCCATGGCCTGGGAGGAGAATCTAACTCTGTTCTTCCAGGTAACCAATGCCTTTTGTTGACTAGTCCAGCTTTCATTTTTGTTTGTTTTTTCAATCCTCACCTGAGGATATTTTCCATTGATTTTCAGATGGGGGTGGGAGGGCATCGATGTAAGACAGAAAGACACATCCACTGGTTGCCTCCCGCAGGACCCTAACCAGGGCTGGGGATAAAACCGCAACTGACGTACGTGCCCTTGACTCAGGAATCAAACCTGCGACTCATTGGTCCGCAGGCTGACGCTCTAACTGCTGAGCCAAACCAGCCAGGGCAACTATTCCATCTTTATATGACACTTCTACCACTGAGTCTTGATAAAAATGGAGTCTGTTTCAGGGCTTCTGAGTCTGTTTTGATAATCAATTGATTCTGACAACAATCTTGTACTATTTTGATTTCCCTAAATTTATATTTATTTTTCCTTTTAAAAATGTATCTTTATTATTTAAACCACAGATGCCCCTCTTTTCCCCCACTGATCCCCTCCACCCTTCTCCCACCCCCACCACCATGCCTTCACCACCCTATTGTCTGTGTTTATTGGTCATGTTTTTATTTATTTAAGTCTAGGAGAACAGCTCCCTCTTGTTTTGGTTTTGGTTTGTTTTGCTTTTCTTAAACTAGCTGTAATAGCATTTTATTGATTCCAAGAGGATTTCAACTGGAATTACAAAACTGTAAATTAGTTTAAGAAAAGCAAAATCTTTAAAACACAGAATCTTCCCATCCAGAAATGCACTGTACGTCCATGAATCTCAATTTCTCTAGTGAAGCCCTGGCTGGTTTGGCTCAGCAGTTAGAACATCGGCCAACAGATCAAAGAGTCACGGGTTCAGTTCCAGTCAAGGGTACATATTTTGGTTACGGTTCAGTCCCCAGCCCTGGTCAGGGTTGTGCGGGAGGCAATCAATCGATGTGTCTCTCCCACATCGGTGTTTCCCCCTCCCTCCTTTTCTCTCTCTCTGCTTCTCCTTCCTTCCCTTCTACTCTCTAAAAAAAAGAAAAAAAAAAAAATCCTCGGATGAGGATTAACAAAATAAACTTGGTCAATAATCAAGAGATGAAAATAATAAAATACAATCTTTTGCCTCAAACTGGAAGATTTTCAAAGCCTGGCGACACCAGTGCGAGCACTCTGGGAGGCAATGCAGCACGCGACCTTCAGAGGCTCACCCCGCCCGCTGATCGTCTAGACGGCCAGACCTCCCATCTTAAGACAAATAACAATGACAAAGATTTCTTTGTAAAGGTGTTCACTGACGTAATACTAATAATAGTAAAAGACAAATGCAACCTCCAACAGTCATAATTTGTATGAGATATTTTTAATTAATTCCATGATGTGATTTGAAGAACAATGATTGTCAGCAAATGCTCAAGAAATCTTCTGTGCAAAAAAACAGAATATAAAATTGTATGCAAGCTGATCCTATTGTGTTTGTGCACAGAAAACAAGCGAGAGGAAGTATGCTACAAAAAATGTTAGCTGTTGCTACTTCCAACTGAATACAAATAATTTCATTACCTACAATATACAGCAGCACTACCCCTCTTTTATCCTTAAAAGTATCTTCATTTGTCCTTAAATATAGAGCCTCCTAGCTCAGCTTCAAAAAGAACATTATAATGAATTATTTTCCATCAAAATTTTGACACAGTTAAACCTATAAGGATGATTACCAATTATAATTTCTACTTATCTCATGTTTAGACACACTCAATAAATGTTGTTAGCTGACATATCATAATAATTGTGCACTGAGACTCACCTTGACCTGATTCCTTTAAAAATCTCCAACACATAAGCTGAAGGCTACAAAGGAAGGACAACGGCGTTAGTGACACTCCCGATGGGCTCCTACTCTACTCCAGGACCCCTCTCGTGCGACACAGTGTTCTAAGATGGCAAGACGGGTATGGACCTTGCATTAGTCAGATCTGGGATCACAACCCAGCTCTGCCACTTACAACTACATTACCTTCTAAGACATGTCAGTTTCCTAACTAAAAAATGAAGACTCCCTGACTCACGAGACCATGTATGAATGAGACATGCAAGTGCAGTCCAGGGACTGGAGGCCATTGACAGCACACGTTTCCCATTACTCTCCCTCTCTCCTTTATCTGACTGAATCCTGCCAACTTTTCCTCCTAAACCTTCCATTTCAAAGTTCATGTAGATGACCAGACTCTTCAGAAGGCTTGGGACACTGAACATGCGTAAGCAGTAGACGACAGAAGAGTGCCAGTCCAGTCCAACCAAAATGGATGACTTGGAAGTTACACTAAAATGGTCCTTTTGAAATTCAAAATATTCTAGCAAACACCACCCTTCAAGAGGAATTTTTAAAGACAAAGTATTACCCCTGAGAGCGACTTTGAATAAGCAAGAGAAAACCATTAGACATTCTACTCACAGAGATATTGCCATAAGCCATCAGGATGGGGTTGGTGGGAAGAGGAACCTATGAAGAAATGATTAAATCCAGTCATTAAAAAATGAGACTCTGATAGTGCTTGTCACAGGCAGGGCGAAAAGATAAAAGACTGATGCCAAACCCGAAAGAGTGAGTGAAAAAAAAGTACCAGGTCTTTTACTTCTAGTTTCAACAGTGCTTTCGACTGAGTTTGGGCAATACATTTCATCCAGAAATCTGACATGGCCACCCTGCCCCCTGAACCAAAGTAGGAGCATGAGCATCTACTCAATACAATAATCACCTCAGTCTGCACTTTCCTACACCCCTGCCTTTTTCTAATCCTCACCTGAGGATATTTTTCCATCTATCTTCAGATAGAGTGGGAGGGAGGGAGAGAAAGAGAGAAACATCAATGTGAGAGAGACCCATTGCCTGGTTGCCTCCCACACAACCCCGACCAGGGTGGGGGATGAACCACAACCGAGGTACGTGCCCTTAACCAGAAACAAACCCACAACTCATTGGTCCGCAGCCAATGCTCTAACTACTCAGCAAACAGGCCAGTAGTACCCTTCCCTTTTTATTAAGACCAAGCTTAAGAGCATTGGCCTGCAGACAGGAGGGCCGAGGGTTCAACTCCCGTCTCTGGTTGGGGTCGTGGAGGAGGCAACCAATGGATGTGTCTCTCTCACATAGATGCTTCTCTCTTTCCCTCCACCCCTCCCTCTTTTCCACTCTATCTAAAAACCAGTGGAAAAAAACAAAACAAAAACCAAGACCAAGCTTCCGTTCTCCCACACTTCCTCAATTCCCTCTTTCTATGTTTGAATTAGAACAAATTCTATTACCTTTCTCTCATTTCCTGATCTGAGGCATTAAGTCCTGAAACTATGGTTTTCTTCTCGGAACTGTCTGTCTATAAATGTCTCCCAGAGTGTAACTTGATGGGCTATCTCACCTCTTTCTCTGCAGCTTTACAAATGGCTCTGTGTTCTTTCATTTTTGCAGTTTCTTCTCGGTATAGTTCAATAGCCTCCATGATCCTCTCAGCCTACACAGATGGTGACAAAGGACAGACGTCATCACAACACACTCCTTCGTCCCAGAACACTGCGCCGGGAAGGCCCACTGGAAATCACCAAATAGCTTGACCGGTTTAATAAAGATGTGCCAGTAGAGTGGCAAACGGCACGCAGACATCTCTGGTCTTTCTTTTTAATTTTCAGGGAGGAGACTAACGTCTGGATCCAGGTAAGAGGGGATGAGCCCCAGGGGGGCAGCGCCAGGGGCGTCTGCAATCGCTGCCTCCGGAACTCGAGCGTCCCTCTCTGGGCGGCGCGCCGACCAGAGCACCACCGTCCTTGGTTACAGAGAGGAAACGGAGGGTTTGATCCCATCTATAAATTCGGTCAACATTTTGCCGCAGAAGGACTAGGATGTTGATAAAGACTTTTACTAAAAAGTTTGGATCCAATGGAAAAAAAAAAATCAACTTACTGCTTTGACTGTTTCAATAGTTTTCTTTCCAGTAAAGTAATTTTCTCCTTGAGTCTCCCCTGGTACCTGTCAAAAACAAAGAGACCCTTGAATAATATTGTTGACAAGCATTAAAGAACCAATAAATTAATCTTATATCCATAAAAGAGCAGACACTATTATAATAATAATACTGGGTTATCAGCTACAATTCATTGAGGACTTAGTAAGGTCCAAACACTATGTTAAGTATTTTACATGTATCATCATAAGAATATCTCCCTGTACAAATGTTTAAAAATAATGCCCAATTTCTTAAATTTTTTCTGATTTTTATTTTTGTACTACAGTTTCCTTCAAATAAATAAATAAATAAATAAATGCCAGAATGATAATCAGTGAATGCCAAATTTGGTCAATCATTAAGCCCATAAAAAAAAACAGGTTACATATAGTTGAATAAAAAGACCTAGACCAATTCTGTTTTTTTTTTTGCATTCATCTTTAGATAGAGCGGGAGGGAGAAAGGGAGGAAGAGAGAGAGAGAAACATCGACGTGAGAGAGACACATCGACTGGCTGCCACCCATATGACCCCAACCCGGGCTGGGGACAAACTGCAACTGAGGTACATGCCCTTAGCGGGAACCGAACCTGGGCCTCTCTGGTCCGTGGGCTGACGCTCTAACTGCTGAGCCAAACCGGCCAGGGCCCGATTCTTTCCCACATCAGATGGTGATGACTTCAGTATTGGGCCCCAATTCTAATTCCATCAGAAATTCTTGAAATCACAGTAAATTCCAGTAAGATAATTCCAGGGCACAAGCCCAGGATCCTAACAGATCTACTTACTGCTGGCTGGTCTTCTTTGGCCACACTCTCCTCGTATTCTGCTTCCCTTTGCTGCCAAGAGACAGACAGAAGTTAACCGGAAAGAGAAAACACGGTCTCCGCGTGAAGTGAGATGGGAACGAGACAGGGAGAGGCTGCTGCTTTAAATGCCATCGCGGTGGCATCTGTCTCTGCCTGGCTGCTGAAATGGCGACAGCAGTCTTGGAACAGCTCCTGGAGGTCCCTGGACTTGCACCGACTGAGGCGTGACTGCACTAGACAGAACTTCCGTTGGGAAAGCGTGTCAGACACCCACCAGCGTATTTGTGACCAGGCCTGGAGTCCTCCTTACCATCTCCCTCTCTTCCTCAAGAATAAGAGGCTCCCTGGTTCTCTCCCAAAGTCTCAAAGATTTGTCATGGGACGATGATACGACGTAGTCTCCATTGGGGCTGACGGCCAAGCACCATATTTCCTGGTGGTGCCCCTGGAGAGAAAAAACAAGCCCCGAAACCCTGAGTGAGAATGCTGTCCACAGACTCCACCTGCTTCCATTCGCTGAGCTCAACACTCGGCCTTCGAAGTCCTTCTTCAGGACCGAGCAAGCAAACAGCAGGTTACCTCCAGAGTCTGTATGTGCTCAAATCTGTCCGCGTCCCACTGCTTCACCTTACGGTCCTTCCCGGCCGTGAAGAAGAGGTGAGACTTGGGTACAAACTGTAGGTACATCACACTGCAACGCAAGGAAGTATTCAAATGTCACCCAATTCCCCATTGGCAGAGAGTCTTACACACACAGCTTTCCAATAGTTATTGTAGAGTGTCTTATCTGTACTTTAGGATTTTAAATATGTGACTGAGATACTAAATAGCAGACACAGATGCGCAAGGGAAATGCAGGTGGCTCAAAGGGAGGTGTCTGAGACTGCGCCCACCTGTCATCGTGTGCAAAGAGAGACTTGTGGCAGTCCCCAAAGTCCAAGCCCCAGATTTTTACGTTCCTGTCGGCAGAGCCAGTTGCTATGAGTGCTCCATCCTGAGGCAGAAAGGAAACACACATCACTTCACCTGACTATCCGAAACTCGACAGAATAAAGAAGCTAACCAGAACAGTTAGCCCCTTTCTCTCCAAAACAATAAAATCAATGCCAAAAAGGTAATTCCATTTCTCTACCAAGAGCACCTACTTTCTCGCTTTTATCTACAGACCTACTTAAAAGCTTGTTCAGTGAAAGCCAGCAGTCTGTGGCTTAGATGTTTCTGCACTGCTTCAGGGCAGTGCTGTGCCTGGAGGGGCGGTCTATTTACTCTTCAAGTAGGTAGGGAAAAGAATCTCTTGTCTGCCACAGGAGCTGGGGCAGGGAAAGAGAAGAAAAAAATGAGGATGGGAAAGAATCTGCTAGAACGTTGGGACCTCGCCTTTTATCTCATGTCCCCCATCAACATTTCTCTTCTTCCCTGTTTCAATGCCTAGTTCAAATGGCTGTTATCAAGAAAATTGAAAATATTTTTTAACAGCAATTCATTCTGTCAATGCACTGACCACAGACAGCTGGAGCACAAGGCCAAGACTTTCATATGACCAGATGTTGTCTGCTTAGGTCCACCTTCCTCACGTTCCTTAAAAGCAAAGGGTGCTGCCTTTTAATTTTAGGGTGCTCTATCAACTATAGTATTTTAGACAAACTACTACTTGGAGAACCTGCAACAGGGAGCTAGTTATAAGGATTAAGAAGTATAATTATAATATATATTATTTTGATTTTGCAGGGGGAGGAAGATATACAACAGAATGAAAAAATAAATACTCTAAAATGAAGATATCAAACCAAGAACTAAGAAAATGCTTTACAAAAACAACTTGTTACTGGGATACTATTTAAATTTTACTTACATAAGAGATGTCCATGCATATAACAGGCAGTTTGTGTCCATACAGCGAGAGAAAAAACTAAACATTAAAAAAGAGAATATAAATAATTCAAGTTTGTTTATGAAATACAGGCATAATTTGTTACATGTGAACTTAAAATATAACTTTAAAATACAATGCTAACACTACCTAGGTTGCTCTACGCCTTTACTTTCAAAGAAGACACACCACAGAGGCGGCCTGTACTTGTCTCGCAGACGACCCTGCACGCCCTGGCCAAGGTCAGGCAGCACAGCGGAGCCAGGAGGGCCCGGGAGCCCACTGCCCCCGTCAGAACGCAGCACACACACTCCGGACCTCCCCACTGGCAAGACCAGGGCACTTATCTCACACTCTCCCAGGTTCGGTCCAGTCCCACCAACTCCAAAGACCTGACACAGAGCCGAGTGGGACCACTGCCCAGCACACCCAGTGATGCTGACACCACTGGCCAGGACAGGGCGTTCTGTCCAGACTTTCTGAACACGTGAAATACAGCTTGCTTTAAACAGAAGTTATAAACAAAAGGATTTTAAAAAAACTCTAGCTTTCCTAGTGTACCTACAATATTTTTTTGATCCACACACAAATTTTTAGAAGTTACTCCTGCTGGGCGCAGTCAAGGCCACTTCTTATTCTCTACAGTCTCCACCCAAGGTCAGTCAGAAAGGAAGAAAATACTCCAGGCGTAACCCCTGTACCTTTAAGGTGTCGACATAGAAAATTTTCACAGTGCAGTCCAGCAAAGACACAGCCAACAGCTTCTCGTTGGGTGAGTACCTGACACACAGAACATCTTCATCTAGCTGCAAGGTTCGGGTTTGCTGCACAGAAAGCCTAGCATCACAGAAATCATCCGGAAAAAAATAATGAGTCTTCTACGAAGGCAGACAAAAATTCCTGAAAACTCTCTGGAGCTCAACAGAAATACACAAAAGTCAATTTAGTGGTTCCCCATTTTCACTCCAAGAAATGGACACATATAAAAAATGTCTACTTACCTCTTCTGGGTACTATTTTCATCTTTCACCAACTCAAAATCCCAGAACTTGACAGATTTATCTGCACCACCTGTCACAAAGCCACGCTGAAAACCAAGTGACATTTCAGTTAAAAAGTATTTTAGTACAGAAACCTGGAGACACATCAGAAGAATATAAAAGACCGTCTGTATTTCATGGCATGGGTAAGAATGAAGAAAAACGTGGTTTCTCTCTAACCCCTTTCACTCTCTTGTGCGGCTGCTGCCAGACCTTACCTGAGAATTCCTAGCAGACACTAATGTGGACACAACAACTAGTGGAAAGTTCCAGTTAAACCTTCGTTCAGCATCAGGAAGACTCAGTGAACACAGGGCTTCTACTCCACCAAAAAGGGCAACAGTCTAAAGAATTTGCTACTAAGTAGGAAAGTAGTTTGACAAATAAATAGATGGGATAATCTAAATAAGTTTGTTCAGCCCAGCTGGTGTGGCTCACTGGACTGAGCATCACCCCATGGACTGAGAGGTCCCAGTTCGATTTCCGGTCAGGGCACGTGCCCGAATTGTGGGCTTGATCCCCAATAGCGGGCCCCCAGGAGGTAGCCAAATGGTGTTTCTCTCTCACATCGATGTTTCTATTTCTCTCTCCCTTCCTTTCTCTCTAAAAAAAATTAAAATCAACAAAAACATATTTTAAAAAGTAAATAAGTTTGTTCAAAGAATTCAGCTCAGAAGAATATACACTTACCCCTACAATGTCCCTGCTTAAAATGTGCTCGAAACCATTTTCCAATATCAAAAAATTAGCCTCGTCACATTGTAGTGTTGGTGTAAAGTATCTAGGACGTGGAGGCAGAAAACCAGATCTCAAGCACCTGGTCTGCCGATTTCCAGGTTTGTAACCCAGGAAACAACTTTACAGTGATCCCTACTGTTGCTGTGGTGATAGTGACCACAGAGTTTACAAAGCCATTGTGAAAACAACAATAAATAACATTATGGATGTGAAAATATTTTGAAAAAGATAAACCACTGTACAGATTTAAATTTTAAATGCTGTTCTGATCCTAAAGGCATTACCCACTCTAAATTCCAGATTGTTTTTTTCCCAAAAATGTCTACTTCCAATGAATGAAGGTTTGCCACCATTGATAATATTCAAATGAATGGGCCATAATCTCTTAAGGTATTTAAAAAAAAAAAAGTTTTTATTGATTTTAGAGAGAAAGGAAGAGAGGGAGAGGAGAAACATCAATATGAGAAACACTGATCTGCTGCCTCCTGCACGCCCCCTACTGGGGGTCGAGCCTGAAACCCAGGCTTGTGCCCTGACCGGGAATTGAACAGGCGAGCTTTTGGTGCATGAAATGACACTAGCCAACTGAGAAACGACAATAACCAACTGAGCCACACCGGCCACGGCTCTTAAGGTACTTTAAAAAAATATTTCAAAATGTTCTGAGCAACTGCCCCATTACTGGAGTAAGTGGACGGTCTCCAGGGTGCTGCCTCTGAAGGGAAGCCCACTGTGAAAGACTTGAAAGGGTCGATATATTTGCTAAAAAACACTGGATTTACAAAGTCACAGATGAACAGACTAAAAGGGGAGCAGGGATCTACTCTATCCTCTGCATTGCATTGCCCAAGGAAATACTTCCTCTTAAGAAGGACCATAAACCAGTGGCAAAAATTCACAAAGGTGAGGCACATGATGTCACGTACTGATGACCAAGGGCAGCTGAACGAGGATTTGTTTCACAAGGGCATATGTGGCATGAGATACGACATCAACAGGAAGCCAAAAGATCTGACAAAATGCGGCTTTCTTTAAAGACCCTGAGCGAACGTTAGGCAGCAGTGAAACCTGACAGAAGGGAGGTGCGGCAGAGTCCTGAGGTCCAGATCTCAGCATCGCGTTACTTACCTGGTGTGGAGACAGAGACATGGACCACAGAGCCCCGTCGTGCGCATCCACAGTCTCCAGCAGGGCTCCCGACGCCAACTCGTACAGCTGCAGCTTTCCTGTCTGTGGAGACACGGATGAGCACAGCTGTAAGGGCTCCTGCAACCTCCACGGGCCACGCCTACGCGGGCCGGGCACGGTTCCACAACCAAGCAGCAACGCTGCAGCCAGCACTCAGGAATGATTCCATGCTCTGTACATGCTCCCATCCAAACAAATGCTGTGAAATCCCCGACCAACGTGCCGAGTTAACCCTCGCAGGGTTGCTATGCTGCACAATTATGGAATCGTACAACCTCGTAGTACTGGACTCCTGTCATTTCACTGGTTTCCCAACTTCAAAAGGGAAATATCATGGCCACAGGCAAATCAGAATAAACATATTAGCAAATGGCAAACCCAAACCTTTAAAGTTGAACCAGTTCTTTAAGTGGATTATCCACTACGATAATCGGCTTAACCAACTCTTCTCCATGTAGTTTTGGCTTCCTCCTCTACCACACACTGACAATGAGTAGTGGCAATCTACCTACAATGCTAGGGAAGGCAACGAACCTAAAAAATCTCAGTAGCTGAGAACAAAATCGGCCACGCTTCTGTTCAGAACTCTGTGCCAGATTAAATTGTGCAGCCGCAAAGCCTGCTCTGAGCTTGTGCACGTGTAGTGGAAAGAGTATGAGGTGGAGACTTGAGTCCCAAGGCTGCCCCTTCCCAATTCCATGACTGCTGGTGAATTCATCTTCATGAGTCTGCTTTTTAAAAAAAATCTGTAAACACCAACCTCTGCACACTGTTGTGGGGATTAAATAATGTACACTAACTGTAGCACAGAGGCTGGGCTAGGGATGTCTTAGCCATACAGCTGGTCTTCAAAGCAATTTACAAAATGGTCTCTCAGCAGCAAACAGCAGATGAACATTTGTTGGAAGAATGAACAAAAACTGTGGGGAACTTTTAAATGAAATTAATCTCTTTCCCTCACACTGACTCCAGGATCTCTCCAACCTATTTTACACTTTGTGCTGGGCAAAGGGTATCCATTGTGTTACACAGGTTTTCTAATAATCATACACACATGGCATTGGTTTATGGAGATAAAAATGACAACTACTTGCAAAGCACTTTTCAGAACTTTCCACAAACCTTACCCCACTTTATTTTCCTTCCTACTCATCACTGCTACACATGGTACAAGCTCTTACTAGCAACATGCTGTGAGCCAGTCTGTGCTAAGTGCTCTGCACGCTGGGAGGTGGATTATTCACACAATTTTACTTGAGAAAACCAAGGCTCACAGGGGTAAGTAACCTGCCCAAAGGGCTCACAGCCAGTGAGCGGAGGGTGGGATGCACACCTAGCCTCCCTGGTGAGAAAGTGCTGTCAAAGACATGTCACTGCCCCATCACACAGATGAGGAAACAGGAGAAGTTACGTGACTTGCTCCAAACCACCCATTTCTTAAGGGAGAGATTTTAACTCCTATTCCCTGTGCTCATTCCCACATGGTTATCCCCCAATCTGATCAGCAGCCAAGAATGAGGACCTGTCAGTGTTTCTACCTAATGCTTCTGCCAACCACGAAACTAGGTACTTAATGTGTTTACCATCAGTCTTCTCAAAACACAATCACGTAAGTGCTCAAAAAAGATGCACAAAAGGCTGCTTACCAAAATCTCAGAATCGTGACTGTCTTCCTTGTAATTTGACATTAGGTTTGACTTCTTAAAAACAAATAAAGAGCCTGGCCAGTTTTGCTCAGTGGTTGGAGCGTCAGCCCAAAAACCGGAGAGGTCCGGGTTTGGTTCCCACTAAGGGCATGTACCTTGGTTGCAGTTTGTCCCCTGCCCCGGTTGGGGTCATGTGAGTGGCAACCACTCGATGTATCTCTCTCACGTTGATGTTTCTCTCTCTCTTCCTCCCTCTCTCCCTCCTGCTCTCTCTCAAGATAAATGCAAAAATGTCCTCGGGTGAGGATATTTAAAAAAACAAAAAACAAATAAAGAAAACAAAAGACCTTCAAAAAAGGGACAATGAAATAACACCCTCACATTATCCAGCTCAAGTAAATTTCCAATATGCTAAAAAAGAAATCAAATTTCTCAAACATTTTTAAGAATAATGAGTAGAAAAACCAAAATCCAAGAAAAGTCTAGTTTACCTTTGTTCCTATGACCACCTGCCTATCACCAGGTACAAAGAATGAACAAAGTGCATATTCACAGGTCATTGTGCGAATACACTGCAGTGTAGACCTGTGTGAGAGAAGGAATAACATTAAAGTACCAAATGGCACCTAACTGTTTTCATTGCAGGGGCCTCCCGATCCTAAGGGAGTATACATAGCAAGCAGAGAAAAGCATCTGCTGGCCCAAGAGAACCCCATCTGCCAGTACACAGAAGTAAGTGAGTCCACAGGACTGCAAGTCAAATGGGCTTACTAGTATATATCCCCACAAGTTCATTTTATTGGACTGTAAACATTCATCCACTCAACAAATATATATCAAATACCCACTTCACTCATCAAACATTTACTGAGCACTCTTTATGAATGAGACAAGTAAGTGTTGGTCTATCGGGTGACAGACAGCAGGTGCTATGGAGAAGCACAATGTGGGGGGCTGCAGAGTGCAAGGGTGGGGGAGGGTAGCAGGACTGCCATCTGATGAGAAGACGGAGAAAGCCTGTCGATGAACGGGGAAGATGGCTCCAGGCAGGGAGAACAGGAGCGCAAAAGGCCTGACACAGGCACCCTCGTGGTGAAGGGAGAACAGAAAGGCCAGTGTGGCTCTAGTGGAGCGGAGGGTGCCAGTGAGGGAGAGGTCTGGAAGGACTATGGCTTTTAGTTGGAGTGGGAGGGAGCTACTAGAAGTGATACAACTGCCACTAGAAAGACTCCCCTGGCTGCAGTGTTGAGAATGGACTGAAGGGACCAGTCAGGAAGCTCTTGCAACAATCCAGACGAGAGATGATGGTGGTGTGAATCAGGTGCAGGCAGGGCAGGTGACGAGAGGTGGCTGGATCCTGGTTAAGTTTGGAAGGTGAAGATAGGATTTGCTAACTAACTGGACATGGGATATGAGACAGAATCAAGAATGGCTACAAGGATTTGGACCAGAACAAATGGAAGGAAGTGATTATGTACTAAGACGGGGAAGTCTGTAGGAACAGCAGGTGGGAAAATGAAGAAATGAAGATCATAAGTATGTTCAGAACATATAGAAATTTAAGGCGCCTATTAGACATCCAAGTGGTGATGCAAACAGAAAATTTGGATAAATGAGCTTGATGTTCAGAGAGAGGCTAAGGCCAGAGGGACACAGTTCTGCGTCACTGGCATAGAGAAAGCTGTGACTAGAGATCACAGAGTGAGTGTAGACAGGAAAGGTCTGAAGACTCCCCTCAAGCATTCCAACACTAAAGGAAAGGAGGATCCAGAAAAGACTGAGAAGAATCAGCCAGAAGAGGAAGTAATGAAAGTCAAAGAAAGTGTTTCAAAGAGGAGAACATGATCAGTTCCAGGAGAGAGTGTGAAACACAGCTTAAAGGTCACTGGGTTTGGAAGCAAGGTCACCGATGAGGTGACCAGAGCGATTTTGGTGGAATGGTGGGGAAAAGCCAATGGTGACGGATGCAGGCAGAATGGGGAAGTCAGAGGGCGGGGAGCTAACCAGAGACAGATGAGGATGAGACGGGGAGACAGCACAGCCGGTCTGCATGCTGATGGGATGAGCCGACACGAAGGGAAATGACTGATGCAGGAGGAAAACTGCGAGGGGAGATGAGAAAGAACCTCACACATAAGTCATAATCATTGTGTCAGGAGCCCCAACACAGGACGCTGAGGAAGGACAGGCTGTGTGGGGACAGGTGCAGCTGAGTGACAGGTGCAAGGGGAGCATCTGAATGCTTTCTAGAGGACCCCATTTCCCAGTGAAGGAGGGAACAAGGCCACCAGCTTAAAAGTGCTTGAGAAAAGGGGGTGCAAACAGCCACCCAGCCAAGGGAGGAATGAGGAACTGGAGTGAGATTACTGGACAGTGCGAAGAGCCTACTTGAATTTCAAAAGCAGGCAGCATGTCTGCTTCTCTCCAGCCAAGCAAAGCTACAAGCTCCATGCATGGAGTAAGCTTGGGTTTTCTGTACAAAATAAAAAGGCGACTGTTCCCACTCTAAACCCCACGGGCCTACGCCCACAAAGCACTGAAGAAACATCAGGAGGGAACTGCATCTGAGGCCTGAAGAAACTAACAACTAACATGAAGAGTATGAAGAACTAACTCAAAGGGAAGAAAACACTGTTGGATAAAGCTCTAGAAAGTTCATTTCACAAACCTGTTCCAAATCTTAATGGAGTCGGCTGCTGCGGAAAGGACAGCGATGTTGTCTGAGCTGAAGGACACAGTGCGCACGTCGCTGCGATGACCCCCGAGGGCGATCCTGCTTGTCCTCACAGGCTGAGGAGCAGGTGCTGATGGACTCAGGGAATATGATTCCACCAGGTTGTTCTGCAGCAGGAAGACTGCCTTCAACTCCCCTTGAGGTGAATGAATCAGGTCAAAAGATCTGCATGAGAAAATATTCATAAACGTCTTGGCTACCACCTTCGCTCACGAGGTTCACTTTTCTAGGAGAAAGGCTTAGCTGTGTCCTCAATCTATACGAAGTGTGAACAAGTGTAGACTTTTACACATGAGCGCTCTGAGTCCTGGACAGTAGTTGAGCACAGGCTTTTAAGAAATCTGGGCTGAATCACCGGATCTGACATCTACCTTGTTTCTGTGTATCTTTTATAAGCGACCTTAAATCCTTTCAGGATATGAGGTATACATTTTTCTTTTTAATCGGCAGCAGGAAAGAGTAGTAAAACAAATCAACGGTTATCATAATAAGACAAATAGGAGATGATGAGTAAGTGGGCTGGGGTGACACAGGCTTCCCATGATCACTGTCTCCAAATATCCACTGTGTACAGACTGCTTACAAATAGCATGACAAAGCCAACGCAACTCTGTAGCTTACTATTTTTATAACCCTCCAGAAACTTCTCTGATACATCACACACTACATTTCTACTCACTTGATTTTGGCAGAAGTTTTGATATTAGTGACCCGTTGGATTTCATCTTGCAGAGTCATTTCAACACGGACTTCAAGGTCTTCCTCCTCACCACTGCAAGAGTTTAATCTAGAGGAAAACAAGACTCTCATGCTATCACTTGTCTAGCAGCTTTGCTATTACTTGAGTCAAGTTCTGCCTCTGAGACCAACAACCTGTGTGATCTTGGGAGTCACTCAGCCACACAGGATTACCATGAGGATTAAAAATGTAGTGCACGGCCTGGCCAGTGTGGCTCAGGGGTTGAGCGTTGACCCATGCACCAAGAGATCGTCGGTTTGATTCCCAGTCAGGGCACATGCCCAGGTTGTGGGCTCAGTCCCCAGTGAGGGGCGTGCAGGAGGCGGCCAACTGATGTTCTCTCTCATCAATGTCCTCTCTTTCCCCCTTCCTCTCACTCTAAAATAAAAAAAATAAATAAATAAAAATGTAGTATGCGGAGAAATGCTTGTGAACTATAATGTCACAAGTGTAAAGTATTACTCCATTTCAGGGGTGCTCTCAGAAACTGGATTCTGAATGCAACAGCCCATACGATTTCCTGGGACAAGACTTTGTGATTTCAACTATTCCACTGAAATGTTTCTGGTAAATTTTTCTAACTTCAGGACTTTTTAGAAAATCCATTGACCTGCACTTACCAATCCAGTCATGTCAAATAAACCAGAGATCTCAAATGAGTTACCTAGTCAGACAGTTTTTTATTTCTTTGAGAGTCGGTATGTTTCAACCATTGAGGAACCAATTTCTCTGGTTATAACGACCTATTTCAGGGTTATACAGCCTCCAAACTTCACCTGCGTAACTGTCCAACCTGCCGTCCTTCTCAGTCCCAAGGTGGGCACTGTGCACCCCAGTTCCTTCTGTGCAGGCTGCTGTCACCGAGGACACTCGGCTGGCCTCAGAATTAATCACTTAGAAGTGATTTAAAAAACCTGTACAGTCCTTCCAGTTCTGTGTGGCTCTGAGTTCAAGACTCAGAAATGCACTAGTTACGAAGCTGTACTAAAGAGTAGAAATTAAGAACTTGGACTACCGGTCCATAGCAAAATCTCCTGTAGTTTTTAACTGTAATTAGTAATAGAGTAAATATTTTTTTTAAAGAACCCACAGTTTTTCTATGAGAACTAAGTGGGCCCACCCAGGATACTCCATTATCAGTAAATAATAAGGAAACACACTTGGCTTTCTTTCTAGCTTTCTTCATCTTCTTATCCATTTTCTTCCGAATCTCCTCTTTGGAAAGGATACAGAACACTTCTAGTACAGAATCGGTTCCCTAGGAAGACAAAGGCTGATGTGAGACCAGGATGGGCAATTTGTAATTTAGCCTTTTCTCGGTAAGATCTAAACCATAACGTTTCTTTTTCTTCCCTTACTACTCCTATCACCGTGGACAACTCAACCTCTCTGGGTTTAGTCTCACTTGTGAAGTGGGGACACCACCTCCTACTCACAGCATTGCTCTGAAGACTAAATAAGAGTTAATGTTGTGAAACGCTTAGAAAAGCAAGCATTTAATAAATGGTTGCTACTAAGAACAATAACAGCAATTACTATTGTCGTTATGGTGATAGAAGCTAGGATTATATGTCCACACAGTCTCATGATTTTTTAATGTGACCAAAGAAAAGTTCAACTCTACAATGAATATAAAAGAACAAGTCCGAAAGGGACGGCCTGGTCCTTGTTATGTTCTAAGACTGGTACTCACATGGCAAGCAAGCATCCTGCCTGTCTTGTCGGTTGCAAGGTTCACAACTCTGTCCCTTCCTTCCCGCATTATGGAACCAGCTTTCCTGCATGTAAGGATGCGCTACAGAAGGAGCAGCAGAGAAGATGAAGGTTAATGCAGTTCTGCGGAAACTCTGAGAAGGTAGGATTCCAAATGCTATGATAAAGACAGTCCCTACAAGGATGACGAGAATTACAGATTTAAGTTACAATTTTTACTTCCCCACCACTCAGCTCAATTAAAATAAGAAACGGAAATGAATTACATCCTCAGGAGCCTCCTCCACCTCGAGGGTCCCATCCTCTGCTTCGTGTGTGTCCTGTATTCCAGGGGAAGACCCCTTGATTTTCTTGCACTCTGGTTCTTCTTGATCTTCAATCTGTTTTATAAAAATGGAAAATCTGAAATAATGCATTCCTGGAGTTGACTCTTAACCCTAATGACTCAGGAATCTGTCCAGATGGTCACTAGTAACTGCCACTTAGTGATCTCTCTGATCAAACCTCTTCAATGGTAGGACAGTTACCAGAATGTATTAAAAACGCACTACAACAAATGCATACAAAACACTGTTCACTATACCAATAACTTTCCAGAGTACAAGTACTATTGTGTAGTAACAAGGTGACAAAATGATGACTGACTCTTCACTAACTTTAAAACCTTCTTAGTAAAAGATCTACCATATTCTGGAGGGAAAGATCCAAACAGACATTAAGAATTGCATGCATTGCAACAGAAGTTACATTTTCTCCTTAAATAAAGAAAAGATAAGCCCTAGCCTACTACTGTAGAACCTATCAAAACAGCTACTGGTCACACCACACACCTAACTCAAGCTAAACCTAAGTCCATAACATTTTTCTTCACAAAATTTTTGAGGATCTAAGAAAATGTTATAGATCTTCTCAGAATATTCATATTTATAAAAACACAAATTTTGCATAGATTTTTGTCTGAGGGGAAAGGGTCACAGATATTCTGAAGTCCATCCATGGACACCCAAACGTCTAGGAATACCAGTCCAAGAACCCCATAAACTAAAACACTAGCATTACCAGAAGCTAAATGTCTAAAGCTATCCTTCCAATACTGAATCAATGAGGGCAAAAGAGCATAGAATGAAGAAAAATATGTTTAGAAGTTGCAGGTTATCAATGTGATAGCATTCCTTTAGTACTACGTGAAGCTATGTGAAGTACTCAATAATCACCTGAGTCTAAATTCAGTGAGCCTCTAAAATTGGTAAAATATGATAGACAATTGGCACACGGGCACATAATGAGAAAACAGGAATTACCTCTTGTAGATAGACTATGTCCCAAGCCCTCAGCTCACTGTCGGAAGACCCTGTGATGAGTCGCTTTTCTTCTGACACCAGAACCAACCCCCACACCTACAGAGTATAAAAAGAGTCAAATAATACAACTTTTAAGACTGTAGGATGTATGACGTGACAGTCCAAGTTTCCGTATACTGGAGTGAAATCTCTTTAGCATCTGCAAAGCCCAACATTAAGGCAACCCTTTCAACACGTACTAAGAGAAATTCCACTGTTAGAAAGAAATTGTGGCCTGTGGCAGAACTGTTGTCTAAGTGATAACTAGACGTTCCTCTGCAACAGAGAATTTCATTTGCTTTCCCTCCTCACTTATTCCAGGTACATGTTTCTGAAAGCCAGGTTTGAACAAAGCACAGAGTAGGATGCAAACATGTACAATATTCCCTGATTTCTATTGAAGAGACTTATGTTCAAGTAGCTACTATAGTGACTACAATTTGCTGTTTATGTGTCACTGGGCCAGGCATTGTATACAGTATCATTAAACCTCCCTACAATCCTAAAGGTGGACACTTAGTATTTAAAAACGATGAAACTCGCCCTAGCCAGGTGTCTCGGTTGGAGTGTTGTCCTGTGCTCCAAAGGGTTGTAGGTCTGATTCCCAGACAGGGCACATATCTAGGTTGCAAGTTCAATCCCCAGTCAGGTGGAATTGAAGGCAACGATAGATGTTTATTTTCTCTTTCCCCCTTAGTCTCTCTCTAAAAGTCAATAAAACCACATCCTTGGGTGAGGATTAAAGGCCAGTATCTGCTCTCATGGCCGGCACTCCCCCACACCAACTTCCATGTCTCAAGGCAGCAGTAGCCGATTCCTGCCAGCCAACGAAAGCACAGAAAGGACCAGAGGAGAAAACCACCCTTCCCTGTTGCCTGGCCAGTCTTTCCCTGGGCCCGTGAGCCTACATGTACCTCAGTTCGGTGGCCAACCATTGTTTTGAAGCAGTGCTGGGTATCAAGGTCCCACCACTTCACCATGGTATCTTTCCCACTAAAAGAAGAAACAGGAAAAAAATCTTATTAGGAAGAATCATGAAATGAACAGGGAGATCAAGGTCTCATTTGTAGCCTTAAAAGATAACGTATAGGCAGAATGTTTAATGTTGCTATTCTATCCAAACTCTCCTTTAAAAAGTAAAGAATCTAAAGTCTCCATGTGGTTATTTTTAGGTGGAAAATTGTCATCCCATGCAATGAAGGGTAGTGGGTTCGATTCCTAGTCAGGGCCGGTGCAGGAAGCAACTGATCAATGTTTCCCTCTCTCCCTTCCTCTCTATAAAATCAATTTGAAACAAAGTTTCACCTGTAAGCCCATCATGTTTTTCATCATAGCAGGAACATCCTCACACACTGTTGCTAACATAGAACCTTCTTAGACCTCCCCACCCCCTTGACTCCCATGTTGTTGGTCTCTACGTCCTGAATATGCCACCTCCGTGAAGTCGCTAAGCCTTGATTCCTTCCAATCCATTTCTGCACACAACCTGAATTTACATGCTACTGCCTGAATAATTTTTAATAGCTCCTTGTCCGATCTCCTTGCCCATTCCTGTTCCCTCATCACATCCAACACACTTCAGTCAGATAATCTCAATTTGCTAAGTTTACACTAGCTCAAGGCTCTCCAGACTCAAAATCAGGCTCTTCAGCACCATTCTTAGAATCTGGTTCTACTCTTCCCTGCCCTCACTAATAAAAAGCCAATAAAATCCTCCTTCATGACCAAAGTGGAAAAAAACAAGTCTGATTCACAAAGTGTTGCCTACATAGCCCACCTCCTCCGTGTTCCCTGACCCACAATGCACAAGTTCCAGTGGAACCGCAGCCATTCGTTCTGCCACAGAACCCGCCATCTGATGTCCCGCCCCCGCCCACAGGAACCGGCCCCCCACTGGCACAGCACTCGGCCCCTCACAACTTCCTCCCAACCACTGCCTGGCAGACCTCAGGATCCCAGACTGTCCTGGGCGGCCATGCCTTTGGAGTGGAAATTATGACATTGGGTTAACCCTATGAAATCGCTGGACACATACACACACACGCACTTCAAATGGTTCAACCTAATAGAGGACAGAAGGCCTAAATACAGAGTATGTCTCTCCTCAAAAGACAGGCTGAACCAAATACCTGGTATTCACATCTGCCCACCACTTCACACTGTGCTTTCCTGACTTTCTAGGGACCAGAAAGTGGACAGCTCACTCTACAGAAGGCGTGTCAGAGGCTAGGGAACATGGAGAAGCTGGTTTCGGAAAACAGAATTTAGCAGTGCTATAAACAACTCTGGACAGCTCCTCTGACACCATCTGGGAGGGGAGGGGAGGAGAAAGGAAGCACAGAGCAGAGGAAACTAGCACACGGGCTTGAGTGCAGCGCAGAGAAATGAGTAAGGAATGAAGCAAATTCCCTCTCTGCAACCCTCCCTGGTGAATTCACCTAGAAAAGAACTGGAATCAAAACTATTATTTCTTTACCTGCTAACTAGCAGGTTCTTCTCTCGCAGAAACAATGCTTGTGTGATGGCATCCTTGTGCCCCTTTAGACGGTAGAGGCCACTTTCATTGATCACGTCCCACACAATAACATCTGTGTCCTAAAGGGATCAATAATACAGAAGAATTTTCTTTATCATGAAAGGCCTAATAATGAGATGAAATATTTTTATTACAAATTTTTATTATATAGACCCTGTAGAAAATTTGGAAGCACACAGAAAAGTACAGAGGGAAAAGTACCAGTTAATTTTGCCATCCAGACACAATCACCACAGATATTTTGTTTTATATTGTTCCAGTCTTTATGTACATATCCAGTTGATATTTTCCTACCAGAAAACTGACACCATGCTATTCATATCATTTTAAAACCCATCCCTCCCCCTTTTCATTTAATGTATTTTCATTTTTCCATGTCCTGCCAGACTGAACTTATTTTTTAATGGCTGCATGATAATTCTAAGGATATACTGTACTTAAATTTTTTCTATTTTAGCCGTTTAGATAGTTTTCAATATTCTGTTACAATTATGTAGAAGTAAACATTCGTGTGCATAAATATTTGTATATACCTGAGATCAGAATAAATACTATGAAGGGAAATTCTTGGGTTAAAAGGCATGTCTATTTTTCAGGTTTGCAATTCACACCATTAAGGTACTCTCCATAAAGGTTGCACCAATCTGTAGGTCCACCAGGGGTATGCACGACAGGCCTATTTTCCCATTCGCTCAGCTCTAGACATTATCAGCTTCTCAAAAACCACTGCCAATTTCACAGGCTAAAAATGCTGTCTCCATATTTAACTTGCATTTCTGAACACCAATGAGAAATTCTGTACATGGTCTACGGTGATTACTGGCCATCCGCACCTCTCTTGAACTGCCAAGTCATGTCTTCTGTTTATCTTTGGTTCTTATTTTTTTACTTGATTGTAAGTTGTAAAGAGACAAATGATATTAATCCTTCCTTCCGATATTGAAAATATTATATACTTTCCACTTTTCATTGTCCTTTGACTTTTTTCTCTCCAGTTTTATTGAGAACAAATCGACATACATCACTGTATAGCTTTCAGGCGCACCGCATGATGGTTTGAAGTACACTATTATGAAACGATTACAAAAGGTTAAGCTAACATCCATCTTCTCATATAGATACAAAAAAAAGGGAAAACTATTTTCTCCCTATGGTAAGAACTCTTAGGATTTACTCTTAACAACTTTCTTATATATTTTTATATTTAAGTATTCAAAATTTATTGATCTTTTTTTCTTTGTTGACATGCTTGAAATCCCTTTTCACCTTGGTATCAGGTACATATTTACTCATACATCTTCCAGTTTACTTACAATTATCTATTACTTTTTTTTTTTTTTTAATCCTCACCTGAGGACATTTTCCCGTTTATCTCCTGATAGAGTGGGAGGAAGGGAGAGAGAGAGAAACATCAATTGGTTGCTTCCAGGATGACCCTGACCAGGGCCGCAACCGAGGTACGTGACACTGACCTTGACTCTGGTCTGCAGTCTGACGCTCTAACCTCTGAGTCAAATCAGCCAGGGCTCTATCACTCTTTAATATTTGTCTTTAATCTATGGCTCATTTTAGTACATGACATAAGGTAAAGCTTTAACTTAAATTTCTCCCATATAGTTGGCCAATTATCTAAGTACCATTTTTTAAGTCATCCATTTTTTTACTCATCAGAAATATCATCTCTAAAATGTACTAATTAGGAATAACAAAGTGGATTTGTTTCTGGGACTCTCATTAGGTGGCAAAAATCTTTCTATTTTGTATTGATACCAGATTAATATAATATGTTTTAAATTGTGACTTCATAATACATTTTAGTATTTTTTTTATTAATTAATTTTTGTTACAGATGTTTCTCCTTTTCCCCCCACTGATTCCCCCCTCCCCCTCCCTTTCTGCCCTTTTCCCAGTTTGTTGTCCATGTCCACTGTTCATGCATATATTAAGTTCTGTGGTTTATCTCTCTCCCACCACCCCCTCTTTAGGGGATTGTCAGTCTGTACCCCACTTCCGCGTCTCTGGGACTACCCCATTCCTCAGACTGTTATGTTCATTATATTCCACAAATAAGTGAGATCATATGAAACTTGTCTTTCTCTGTTTGGCTTGTTTCACTTAGGAGGATACTTTCCAGGTTACATTTTAGTATTTGAAACCTCCTAAAATTTAACCCTGAAAAAAACCCCAAGAAAACCCACAAAAAAGCAAAACAAAACTAAAACCCTCTTTATTAGCCTTCTTTCCCAAAATTCTTGTGTTTCAGATTTGTGTTTCCATAGATGGTTAAATCATTTGATCACATTCTATTTTTTTTTTATCCTCATCCGAGGACATTTTTCCATCTTTTACTCAGATAGAGTGGGAAGGAGAGAGAGGAAGAGAGAGAAACATCCATGTGAAAGGGACACATTGAGTGGCCGCCACCCACACGACCCAACCAGGGCCGGGGACAAACTGCAGCCAAGGTACATGCCCTTAGCGGGAACTGAACCCGGGTCTCTGTGGACCGCAGGCTGAGGCTCTAACCGCTGAGCCAAACCGGCCAGGGCTGATCACATTCTAAAAACAGTAAAACGTATTGGAATATTTATTTAAATTAATTTTACTAAGTTAATTAGAAAACACTAACATCTTTGTTCAACACTTTGTCTTCCTGTTCAAGTACATGGTTTGTATTTCTATTTGTCTTCTATTATATTCTTCAGTAAAGCTTCATAGTATTTTTCTGTTACTTAATATACTGTTGTAAGTGGAATTGTGATGTTATATAGCAGTTACCACGGGCATCCTCATCTTGTTTCTAGTTAACAGGCTCTAATCAGACAACATGATAGGAAATAAGATGAACCTTCCAATTCAGACTCATCCTCTCACTCTGTTTCTATCATCTTTACTGTTTTGTACATGACATGCCCATTGTTTCATCCAACAATTTTTTTCCACTTTTTATTATTTATTTATTTTTAAAATTAATTTTTGTTATAGATGTTTCCCCTTTTTCACCCTCTGATTCCCCCCTCCCCCTCCCTCCCTGCCCTGTCCCCAGCTTTGTTGTCCATGTTCACTGTTCATGCATACATGCATATAAGTTCTGTGGTTTATCTCTCCCCCACTGCCCCCTCTTCTGGGGATTGTCAGTCTGTACCCCACTTCCACGTCTCTGTCACCCAACAACTTTTGTGGACATCCTGCTTAAGCACAGGCATTATAATCCTTTACTAGACCAAACTCTGGGCACCTGGTTCAAAGTCTCACCTTGGACCCAGATGCCAGCCTGCCTCCTAGCTGGTCATACTTCAAGGACGTGATGGCTGCTTTGTGTCCATTGAAGGTCACATTTCCTTCCCCACTCAGGAGACTGAAGAGTCGAATAGACCCATCCTCATAACCAACAGCTAAGTGCAGCCCATCTGGGGAGGGGCACAAGCAAGTGACTTCTTGTTTAAGACCCTGAAGGATGAGGATCTGAAATCACAAGAATAACAACAAAAAAAAGTACAGGAGTTAAGCTTGTCATCAAGGGAAAAGTGTGGGGTAATCAAGCACTGTAAAATGAAGAGCACAATCACTCCAAATCAGCCTTATAAATAATGAAACTCTGAAATCCATCTCAAGTTCTTTAATATAGAAATTATTATTTGTATTGGGCAATGAAATATTCAAGAAAAGGTAAAATTATTTTCTTCAAAGCTCTACATTAGCCTAATACATGCAAAAATTCCCCAGGCAATGGAATAAATTACACAAAGTCATTATCCCAACTCAACACGAAGCGATTTTCCATAGAGGATTATAAACACATCCTTGTGTTAACATAGTTCTGGTTTATAAGAAACCAACCTACATGACACTAGAGTGCTATTGTGGTTTATCTAGAATGGGACCCTGCGCAGCAACAGCAACAAGTATCAAGGTATCGCCCTGCCCGGTTTGGCACAGCAGTCAGAGCGTCGGACTGCAGTCCAGAGAGACCCAGGTTCGGTTCCCACTAAGGGCATGTACCTTGGTTACAGTTTGTCCCCGGCCCTGGATGGGTTGTGCTGGTGGCAACCACTCGATATGTCCCTTTCATGTCGATGTTTCTCTCTCTCTCTCTCTCTCTTCCTCTCTCTGTCTGAACAAAAAATAAAAAAGTATTCTCGAGTGAGGATAAAAAAAAGTATTAACCTCTTGGGAGTCATGTAGTGAGTGGACAAGATCAAAATGCCTGTATGTGGTTTGGCAGAAGTGGTAGGCTTATGGGATTTAGAGTTACACAAAGTACCAATGCCTGGTTTAACAACCTGGGCCTCATCTGTATGAGTAAGACAAAGATTCAGTCAACAAAGCAGAAAACTATTCCTTTTAAGTGCTTAAGTTGTATAACTGGTTATGAGGACAAGTAGAAGGACCTGAAAAATAGAGAAGTGATAAAATAGGTTTAGGAAAACATAAAACAAGTAGGGAATAATGATTACAAATAATTACCTGTAAATATCACTACAAATAGATTCCTAAGAGGCAAGCTCCTCTTTGGTTGCGGTTTTTAGAATTTCGTGTAAAAGAACACAGTAGAACCTGATGCCTGGCTAGCTAGTCCCAAAGAAAAAAGATTTCCCCTCTAGGGGCACACACATAAAAAAATCTGTGCATGATAAATCAGAGTTCTCTCTCTTCTGCCTCTCCAGCCTCAAAAACCCATAATCAACATTGATCCCAGTGATCTCTGGCTTACCTTCTCTCCTTTTCTTAAGTCCCAGATGAAAACATGTTCACAGGCTGGTACTGCCACATAGCGTCCTTTTTCACCACGAAGTGTCACAAAGACAATATTGCCTTTTTGGCTGCCAATAAGGCCAAAGACTGCACTGGCAACATAGCGTAGGTACTGCTTGGTGAGCCCCATGTTAAAAGGTCTGAAATCACGGGTGAGGCAGCTGTGCAGGAAACAGAAAACTCAGTTCTTTGTATATGTTGGTTCTATTAGGCTGGCAAACACCAATTGTTTATTATGTGGTCAACCAATATAATAAATTATGACATAAAATACTGGGAATAATTTTTTATTCATCGACGATTCAACATATACCCCTTCATTATCAAGTCACACTCTCATGCCCCTCTCACAAATTTATCTGACATATGGCCTCAGTGTCACTAAACAATTAGCTTCTGTCATTCAATCACCATCTAAGTTTTGCAGTGGTTCTCAACCTGTGGGTCGCAACCCCTTTGGGGGTCGAACGACCCTTTCACAGGGGCCGCCTAAGACATAACAGTAGCAAAATTACAGTTATGAAGTAGCAACGAAAATAATTTTATGGTTGGGGGTCACCACAACATGAGGAACTGTATTAAAGGGTCATGGCATTAGGAAGGTTGAGAGCCAGAGACTGAAAATATTTATCAATGAACATTTATTGTTAACTTATTAATTAGACAAGCACTATTGTGGATGTTAGAAACATAGGACAACAAAATCCCTGACCTCATGGCACCTTCTAGTGATTCTCAAACCCTAGGAAGTACCCAGATCACCTGGGGGCTTATGGAAACAGATTGCAGGGACCCATCGCCACCTCCCCTCCCCAATGCCTATTTCTGATTCAGTAGGTCTGGGATGGAGCCCCAATTTTTTCATTTCTAACAAGTTCCCAAGTGCTGCTGCTGCTGCGGCTCCTCACTTGAGATCTACTGTTCTAGTACAGTCCTGGATTTCCAAGTCAGGGTAGTGCTGTATATTTTCTGTGCCAAAGGGAGGTAGCTACCCTGACTTAAAAATCAAGGATAAACTAGAATAGATCTCAAAGTGAGGAACCACAACACACCCTGTTTTTGAAGGATGCCATAGTTCCCACAATAAATCAAATTCACTGAAAACACTGGTCATGGACAAAAGAAAAAGAGACAACATGTGAAGGGGATAACAAGCCAAGCCCATATGCTCTTGACATGGAAAAATGAAAAGTATGCCCAACACACCCATGAAACTTAAAAAACACAATAATCACTTACTGGTCTCATTTTTCTGATCATAGGAAACAGCATAAAGCTAGTTAAAATCAAGGAAAGATAATATTAATGTGGTGATAATGCTCTTAGCCTAGGCCATTTGATCAATACTAACTCATCTTATTCCCTAACTGTAATTGTTCCTCTTGGTAGTCCTTAGCCATCTACTGACTCTCTCCACAGTATTTTCCTTGGAGACATCATAGAGACTGTCTCAGCCCAGAGACTGCCACATCTCCACTTCCAATCCTGTCCATATCCCCACTGGAATACCTTGCAGCATCATGTTTAATATGTCTAACCCAAACCTACCTTGCTTCCTGAACTTCTCTTATTTATTTTGACTCTATGACACACAAACCTCCTGGCCATTCAGGCTCAAAACCTTGTAGTAACCTGTGGCTCATCAATAAAATTACAGCAGCCAAGACTTAAAGAGTGCTTAGCTATAGATGCTTCATGAGTTACCGGGGGTGGGGATGTGTCCTGATAAACCCATCATGAGTTTAAAATATTGTATGTCAAAAACCCATGTAATATATCCAACCTATGGAACAGCTTAGCCTAGCTCCCTTAAATGTGCTCAGAACACTTACATAGTCTGGAGTTGGGCACAATCATCTAACATCAATCCACTGCAGAGTATAGGTCGTGATCATGTGGCTCAATGGGAGCTGAGGCTCGCTGCCACTGCCCAGTTCAGTTAGCCCGGAAAAAAAGTAAAATTTGAAATACAGTTTCTACTGAATGTGTATTATTTTTGCATCATGGTAAATTAGAAAAATCTTAAATCAGGACTGTCTGTATGATAACTGAAATACTAAATGTATAAAAGTGCGTAAACATAGATAGCTGTTTAGTTACATATAGCAACTGAGTTAAACGGGTTACTAATATACATAAAGCACTTAGAAAAGCATCTAGCATAAATATAAAAAATTTCTTCATCATAACCTTACAAGGTAGGTACTGTTCTTATCTCCATTTTACAGACCAGAAAGCTACGCAGAGATGTGAATCAGCTAGCCAAAGACATTTGTCGAGTTTTACGTGCCAAAGCCAGATTACAATCCAGTCTAACTCCAAAATTTATTCTTTTAACCACTAAGCTAAACTGCTTTTCTTTGCCTTTGTCCTCTTTTGTCAGAAATGTCCATCTAGCTGATTGTTTCTCTGAAGTAGGATCCTTTTCTCTCTTTCCACTACTTTCTGTTCCAGCTTTTATCACTGAGTTCCTGCACTAGTGTTCCATCTATCACCTCCCCTTGGACTTTTAAAAATTCTTTTCAATAAAGTCATAATATGCCCAGCTGGTATGGGCTCAGTGGTTGAGCATCAACCTATGCACCAAGTGGTCACTGGTTCGATTCCCAGTCAGGGCACATACCCTGGTTGCGTGCTCAATCCACAGTATGGGGCATGCAGGAGGCAGCTGATCCATGTTGATGCATCTCTTTCTCATTGATGTTTCTCTCTCTCCCTCTCAAAAAATTAATTTAAAAAATTTTTTAAAAGTCTTAATACTACCATCCTAATCTGTTCACCTATGCACCGTCGCTACCACAAAGCCCCTGAAAAGTCTAAATTATTTGCAGTTTCTAAGAACTCTCATCCTATCTATCCCTCTATATTTCTCGCATCACCCCTCTCTTGTCGGGCTATCTGGTTTCCTTCCTTGACCTGCCATCTCACCTTCGTTGTTCCTGTCACCTAGAACAACAAGCATTCTCCCATCTACCTATTTAATCAGTGTTCTCCTCCGAGGCCCACTTCCTTCGGGGCTGGTCCAATTCTTGCGGCCTTTCCCACTGCCTCGATAGTTAAACTGTCCTCCATACAGTGGCACCGATCGCTTGTGTCAGGGCAGAGATCTCAAGGCCTTGGAGAGAGCTCACGACCTAACCTTCCTCGGCGCCGCTACCATCCTAACCCCCAGCCCCCAAACACGTTGCTTCCAAGCTGCACCGAGGGCTGGGACGTGAAAGCAGACCCATCGGACGTCCCGACACCGAGTCTTCAGCCTGGAGGGTGAGAGGGGCAGCGCACGCCGGCCACGCCGACGGGGCACCCTCAGGGAGCTTGGCACGCACCAGCCGCGGGTCCGCGGGCGGCCTCCCGCACGGCGGGGCGCTCCACCGCCCCGGTTCCCCTCCACCCCGGCGGCCGACCCCCCTCGCCCTCGCCTCGGCTGCTGCCGGCAACCACGAGTTCCTCAGCCGGGCGCCAACCCCGAGGAGCGGAGAAAAGCGTCGGGCCGCCGGGCAGCTCCAGCGGTACTCACCTCCGCCTCCACGAGGACCCGGGACGCTCGAGACCACCCCTTCCGGTTCCGCTCCCGGACCTTTTTCCGCTCGACGTTCCCAAAGCCTCTGGCGGAAATGGCGCGGGAGCCGGGCTCTGATTGGTGGGCCGGCCGGGAACGGAAGTCGGTGATTCGCAGCCCCGAGCTCTTGCAGCTGGTCACTGGGGCCTCCTGGGACTTGGACTCCCCGCACCCTGAGCTCCTGAGAGAGTCGTCCGGGGATGTCGCTCGGCCGCTTTCTACGAGAAGCTTAACCCGCCCCGCCTGCCGCCCGGATGGGACCGCGGGAGCGCTGTGAGAGGCGGGCAGGCGCCGGGAGGGGCGGGCGGAGGGGGCCGGGGCCGGCGGGAGGCTCACAGGACTCGGTCCCGGCGCACGGTGCGGGCGGGGGTCAGTCTGTGGGTCCCCGGAAGAACGAGCCTGCCGCGGCTTCCCTTGCGGTTGCTCCTTGTCTCCCGAGGCGCTGTCGGCGACGGCTTATCCAGGAGAAGAGAGGGTAGGCAGACCCGGGCACCGGGGCAGTGGTGCTGTAGTCACGGGGAAGGCGTGTGGCCTGGGGTGCAGGAAGAATAGGGGGGCGGGAGCCCCGCTGATTATAGTCCCAGAGGGGAATCTATGTTGCCGGCGGGTGGACCGGGCGCTCCACGAAACCGGAGCAGCTCGAGTGGGGACTGGGTAGGCGCCAAGCCCAGCAGCTGAACTGTCTGGGTCTCCGCAGTCCCTGGAGTGACATTGGTCTGGCTTTGTGTTTCCGCTCCCTGGCCGCTTGAAGAGGAAGTGACCAGAGCTGACTCCCCATTGCTGGGTAATTGAGGCTTGGGTGCTCTGTCATCAGGTGGGAATGAGCTTTTCTCTCTTGCAGTTCTGTCCTCTCTTGTCGTTGGGCTGCATAGAAGTGTTAAGAAATGAGGCTTGATGTCTATAGCTGTGGAAAATTAAGGCTAACCTATAGCTGCACAGAAGAAATATGCCTCTGCTTTCGCTTATTGAACAAGCTATCTGCAGCTAGCCTAGAAATTACCCTTTACTTCCATTGTCTGATTTTTTTTCAGATATTTCTTGAGTTCTTAAGACATGTCAGCTAGTCTTCTTTAGTAAAGAAAATTGCAGTAGAAGAGAATGGATATGATGAGACTAGATAGATGTAGCTGTATAGATGTTTTGAAACAAGATTACTGTGGGTTAGATGAATGTGAAGGGAGGAAATTTTGGCAACAGACTGTTATTTTTCAAAGTAAGGTGAAGAAGGGAACACTTAGGCGTGTGTGGTTAGTGTCTCTTATAGGTGATATGTATTATAGTATTATAGAGAAAAATGTCTGCTTTTGTAGAAAATTTAATAGTCTACATACTATCTAGGTTACACCCCTTGGATTATCTGATTTTGAAAATAATTATAGATAACTAATCTCAATACTAAGTAATTTTTGTCTATACATACAAATTCTGTCCTCTTAGAGGTTCAGTGAAAGTTTACCATCTCGTACATTCATTTCAGTATTCCTGATTTATTAATGTACCCAATTTTGGGACTCTCTTTATCTCCTATCTGCCTGGTTCTCTTGTGAGTTAAATAAAATCTTGAACACATTCATTTTTATGTTTGAATGCATCATTATTTTACTTTTAAAAAACAATATATTAAATATTATGGGAAAGGACAACCAGAAATAGAAAAAAATTAATAAAATTTGGTGTAAGAGCAACTGTGATCGAGTGCTAAGATTATGCATCTTATAAAATTTCCAGTACGTACATAATACAAGAGTATCACCCTGATTTCTTATTTAAGTTTCAAATTGCTCAACGTATTAATACTTACAATTAAAAATAGTAAAGTTCTTTTCATATGAAAATGGTACTACTGACTCACTGCTACAGCATGTGCTTTGGACATTTTTGAATGATGGGTCATTGACATGGCTTAGAAATACTTTTGTGATACTCTATTGTTGATATATTTGACTGCTTGTTTGTTTTTCCATCTAAGTAACTTTGGAAAAATTGTCATTCTTTCTATTTGCATAGAATGACTTAAATATAATAGATTTAATGTTGAGATAGAGGTATTGTGCACAAATACCTCACGTACCCTGAAGTTTTAAATATTAAAATACAAAGATGTGAAGAAAGGTAAACCTGTAATTTGTTCAGAAACAGTGACATTGAGCTGGTCAAAAGCAAGAACCAGCTCTCTTTGTAGTTTTGTCCAGGTCTGTCTAATCAGTGTAAGTCTTTTGAAGAACAAATAAACAGATTTAAGGTTCTTGTTTTCCAGTGGAAAATAATACCATTTTCTTTTTATCCAGAAAACAATCAGGTTGTTTTGAGTCAGTGATTCAAAGTGTTCTGATTAATTCTGTTCAGTCTTTTTTTTTTTTTTTTAATTGATTATTATCATTATTATTATTTTGGAGACAGAGGAAGAGGGGAAATGGAGGGAGGGAGGGGGAGAGAGAGAGAAACATTGATTTTATTGTTCCACTTACTTATACATTTATTGTTTGATTCATGTATGTGCATTGACCTGGGATCAAACCCACAACCTTGGCACATGGGACAACACTTTAACCAACTGAGCTACCCAGCCAGGGCCTCTGTTCAGTCTTGAAAAATAAAAATCTAATCTCTTTAGCCAATCCAGTTATTCATATAAGGCACTACTTAGATGGACTTCTTAAACTGAAAGATAACAAGATTTAAAATAAAACAAAAGAGTACTTAAACTAAAAGGTGACTGGATTTGAGAAAAAAGACAAGCTACAGTGTAAGAGAACCATTTATACTCATTATGTATTTGAATGATAAAGAGTAGATACATAGTGGATTCTCTTTTGTCTTTAGGCCCTCATCCACCAAGGTACTGAAGATAATTCTTAATAGATGGGTAAGGAAATAGATATCCATTCTGGAATCTTCTGTTTGTTCCATGTAGACTTTTTGATCTTGGAATAGAAATGTCTTGCTTCAGGAGATTTTATTTTATTTTATTTTATTTTTTACTAAGGTTTAGTGTTTGCGAATGAACCTGTTTAAAGTACAGAAATGATTGATTGATATTCACTAGAAAGTCTCGCTCCTCTTTAATGTTATCCAAAATTCTGGCTATAGCTATCACTGTAGCCTTCCCTCCTCTCCCCTCTCCTAAGCTGAGCCCTCTGCATTCTTTCTGTCACTGGGATTCTTAATCTGAGTCTGGGAACCCTCTCAGATTTATTTGCAGATCTGTTCTTGTATGAGCTCACAGACTTACATTTTGGGTGGTGAAAGGGTCTTTATCTCTCATGTGATTTTCAGAGGGGTCTGTGACCCCAAGAATGTTAAAAATCTCTGTTCCTTAAGGGTCAGGAATCAGATTTTCCTGCCTAGCTTGGCTTTGGGGTTCCATTTGCTTCATTGCCAAGCTGTGTGTGTTGGGGAGGAGGAGATTTATATTTCTTTTTAGTTAGAAAAATAAATTTCTGTTTAGAGAGGGAGCTGAAAAAGAATTCACCCTTTGTTAAATGCCATGGTGCTGACCATATAATGCCATTAAACTGCCCTACAATAAGCACTCTGACAATTATTGCTCACTTAACATCCAGTGTCTTGTGGGTCACAGTGACTTTTAAGATCTGGGAAGAAGATCCAACAAACTCTGCTGACAAGATGAGATTGGAGACAAAGGAGAACCACTAGTGTGTACTGTCAAAGAAGATAATTGAGTTTCAGGGAGGGAATAATCAAGAATAGATGCAGCTAACATTTGGTTAGCTCTTGGATTTGACATTTGGGGAGTTGTTGACTTTGAAAGGGTAGTTTTAGCATTGCTATAAAGATGGAAACAAAACTGCAGTAGGTTGAATAAATGGAAGAAAAGGAAGTAGAGCTACAAAACAGATTAGTTTTAAAAAGTCCAGTGGTGAAAAGAGTTCACATTTCTGAAGAAGAAATTGGGTAGGAAACATTTTTGAGACTAGGTAGACTGAGGGGAAGGAAAAATCAAGATGTGAAAAAATTGAGGATACTGCATTCTCTTAGAGAACTAGTCAAGTGGAAAATGAGTTGTAGTCTCCATTTGCCCTCTGTTCAGCTTTTGTAGTTCAAGTCTGAATACTGTGAACAGCTCAATAGAACTTGTGGTTCCTCCAGTTTCAAAGGCCAGTTGATGGACTAAATACAAACTTCAGGATGAAATTAGTTTATGTTAAAATTTCAAAGGAGTACTTAGTATCAAGTAAAAATAATGTTCTCATGCGGTTTTATCATGGTATCAGTAAGAGTAGGTAGTTAGGCATAAGCAAAGCAGGAACGATAGGCCAGATACTAAATGTCACTGGGGTGAAAAGTCCCAGGTGCCTAGCAATGGGCAAAACTAGAAAAAACAACTATTATAGGCCAAGACCTCGTCCCCAGGGTGGTCTTTCCTCCCCTAGCATGTCTTTAGTTGTGTGGTTTAGACCCTCTTAGAGGAGGAACAAGGGTGGGAGAATAGCCTCATAGAACTCCCATACAAGTCCTTGCATGACTGACTAGGCATTAAGCCCTCAGGTCTGTTGACCACAGAGACAGAATTTTAGGCCTCAGTTGTGTTTCAACTCCAGACCCAGAAAAGAAGCAAAACCAGACAGTGACACCATAGCTCACATTAGGATCAGATGCAATGTCTAATGACCCTCTACCCTAGCACCAACCAATCTGTAGAGACAATAACTCTGAAAGGACATACCTAAAAAGCTTATGAATATTCTATTGAGATCCTCCCCAGCGACCTCCCCTAAAATTTCTTGCCTTTAGAAAACAGATAAAAACCCTTAAGACAAGGGACCCAGTGCTTCTCTCTTGCCTCCCCCCACCCCCCCACCCCCATCTTTCCTTAGGTACATGTCTCTTGCTTTCTTTCTCCTAAGCTCCGAAGGCCCTTCTTTTGCCTCTGTAACTCGTTTCTTGAATCCACACAGCCCAGCTGGCTCATTTCTTCTGCCTCTGTGACTTTTTTTCTAAATGGGCTTAACTAAACCTCTTTCACTAGAATTCTTGGCTCTGAATTCTTTCTTAGCTGAAATTAAGGACCAAGGTCTAACTCCACCATTAACAGTACAATCTGCAAGACCTTTCTGAAATAGTTATATAAATGATCACACTTCATTACACACAGTTTTGGTACAGTAATTAGCACATTGTGTCAGATCCATGCTTCATTTCAATTAGTATCCCATGTCTTTAGCAAGAAACACCAAGGTGTTAGGTGTAGAAGGGCATATTTGTTCTCCTTAACTCCTAGCAACAAACATTAGGATCATAACGAAAAGTTTCTCAAGAAGTTCACATACCAACTTTTACTCCCTGATCATTTCTCATGTATGTTCAATATTACTGGCAACCTTCAGTTTACCAAACCCACTAATCAGTTCTTAGTCCTTTACTCAACCTTTCAGTAGTATTTAACCCTAGCTGATCCTTCCTGATCATTTCTTCTTGAACTAGTTTCTTCACTTGGTTTTTAGGCTACTGTACTTTCCTGGGGTCCCTTCCATTATTAAAAACATTTTTTTAAATTGATTTTTAGAGAGAGAGGAAGGGAGAGGGAGAGAGAGATAGAAACATTGATGAGAGAGAACATTGATTGGCCACCTCCAACATACTGCCCACTGGGGATTTGGCCCACAACCTGGGCATGTGACCTGACCAGAAATTGAACTGGTGACCTCTTGGTGCATGGGTCAACACTCAACCACTGAGCCACACCGGCTGGGCAGGGTCCCTTCCATTCTTATCAATCCTTCTCGGTCTCCTTTTTTGACATGTCTTCTTTCCAACCTCTAAATTCTGCCTTAGGACTTAGTTCTTGGATCTCTTATCTCTGTTTGCATTTTCTTTCTTGGTGATTTTGTCCAGTTCCTATAGCTTTAAATATCATCTACATGCTGAGAGTTCCAAATTTTTATCTTTAGCACAACCTCTCCTCTGAGCTCTAGCCTCGTACAGTCAATTGCGTGTTTGACATAAATACTTGGCCATTTAATGGGCGTTTCAAACGTAACACATGCAAAAAAAAAAAAACCAAGGAAAATGCCTTGGTTATCACTGTACCCCACAACCTTCTCCAGTTTTACCCTTCTCTATAAATATTATTTACCACCTACTCAGTTCCTCAAACAAGGTATCTAACAGTTCTTTGATTTTGTTCATTTCTCTCACCCTGTGTATTCATTTATCAAGTCTTATTGCCTCTGCCTTTAAAATATATTCCAAATATAACCATTTCTCCCCACTTCCCATCACCATCTTACCTAGGTTACTGCTATTGTTTCTACTGGTCTCTGCTTTTACTCTTGGCCTCCACTTGATTTCACTGTGGCTAGCATACTCTTTTCAGCTGTTATTTATGTAGTTGTTAGTTATCTCTATCAAGATACTCTAATAGCTTCCCTTATATTTACAATAAGATCCACAGTTTTTATTATGGCATACAAACTGTATCGTCTGGCTTTTCCCTCTCTCACCAGTCTCTTCACCTACCACTTGTTACCTAGCTCATTCTCCTCTAGCCAAACCAACCTCTTCCATCTTCCTGGAATAGACCAAGCTCCTTCCTGTCCTTTTAGCCTTTGCACTTGCTGTTTCCTCTGCCTGAAACATCCTCCAGAGCTTCACATGGCTTGCTCTCTTGCTTAATTTAGCTCTCTACTCAGATTATCACCACTTCTCTCCTAATACCCATTGCCTGCAGTCATTCTTTTAGGTACCTGCTTGCTTGTTTGTTTATTGTTTATCATCTCTTGTCCAGGAAACGTAAGCTCTGAAAGGGCAGGGACTTGTTCTGTCTTATTCACCAGTGTATCCCTGGTGCTTAGAACAATACCTGACATAAAAGATGCTTACAAAGATTTATTGAATGAATGAATCTACCATTTGACTGAAATACCTCTCTGACCTATTGGCAAATTAAGTATTCTTTTCTCATGTTTAATTTCCCATGACCTCTCTGTAGTACTTGACAGTATGTGTCTTCCTGTCACCATTCTCTTCTAATTTTTACATTTCTATACAACTAACCTACTACCACATTGGTGTCTCATACACTATATCCTACAAATGGTCAAATCCTGTTAGTTCTTTCTTTGTATATTGCCTCTCAAGTCCATGCTCTCTCCATCTCCTTCACTTAGTTCAAACCTTTATTATCTCTTACTACTTCCTTGAAGTAACCTCCCTGCTTCTCATTCTGTCTTACTCAGTATATACTCCACATTATCATTAGACTGAACTCTTTAAATTGCACGTGTTGTTTATCTCTATATCTCTTGCGGCACCTAGCACCTCTTTCCCCCAGTAGCAGACAGTAAGTGTGGAATGAGTAGTCCTATGTTTCTGGAAAGTAGAACTGGTTGTCCCTGTGATTATTTTAATGGCTGTAATTCTCTGAAAAGAATTTGTGCTTAAATAATCCCTCTTTTGTCCTGTTTTAGGAAAGGGGGGGGGAAAAATTAGAAAGAAAAAAGTTAGCTATTCTTTGTCAGACATTGATTTTTATGGACTCTTTAGCAGACTATAATAATATGATGTACTGTTAGAGCACTTCACAGTAGAGTTTTGTTATTTACTCTGCTAGAAGTAAAGTAGTAACTGTGCTTCTCTATTAAAACAGCTGTTTCTTTTCACTTAAGCTAAAGTCTCCATTGAATATTGAATTTGCTGAGGAATTTGGGAGAAGACAAGCTGAAGTTCCCATTCCATGGATCCCTTGGGTGCCCCTTCGCAGTTTGTGGATGTGGATACACTACCAAGCTGGGGTGACTCTTGTGAAGATGAATTAAATGCTCCTGATACTGCACCTGGAACAGACACCATTAGATCACCTTTTCTTTATAACAAGAATATCAATGGAAAAGTGGTTCTTTGGTAATTCCTTGATTAAATTATATCACGATAATATTTTCTCAGAATTTTTTCCTAATTTATTTTTTATGAGTATCTTCCAAACTTTTTTTGTAAGCTCTAGCATTGTTGAAATATTGCTTTACATAGACATATGCAGCTCTATTGAGGTACAATTGACACACAGTAAAGTACACATATTTAAAGTGTACAATTTGGTAAATTTTACATGTGTCTACACCCATGAACCCATCACCACAATCAAGATAGTGAATATATTTATCACCTGCCAACACACAGTTTTTTGTGTGTCCCTTTATAATCTTTTCTCCTGTCCTTCCCTGCCTGAACATCCACAGGCAACCATTGATCATTCTGTCACTATAGATTAGTTTGCATTTTCTAGAATTTTATATAAAAGGAATCATGTACTGTTTTTTAAGTCTGGTCTCTTTCATTCAGCACAATTTTTTGAAAGTTTGTCTGTTGAATGTATTAGTAGTAATGCATTTGTTTTTATAAAAAGCTTTATTGAGATGCAATTCACCAATTTATGTATTTATTTTTAATTTTATTTTCTTTACTGATTTTAGGGAGAGAGAAAGGGAGAAGGGGAGAGAGAGAAACATTGATGAGAGAGAACATCGATTGGCCACCTCCAGCATGCCTCCCACTGGGGATTGGGCCAGCCACCTGGGCATGTGCTCTGACCTGGAATCAAAGTGACAACCTCTTGGTGCATGGGTTGATGCTCAACCACCTAGCTACACTGGCTGGGCACATTGTACAAGTCAGTGGTTTTTAGTATATCACAAAGTTGTGTAACCATCACCACAGTAAATTTTAGAACATTTTCATCAACCCAAAGTTCTATACCCATTAGCAGTCACTACCCTCTACAATCCCCCCCCCCCCACCCCCACATACACAATCTCTCAACTTTAGCTAACCACTAACCTACTTTCTCTATATTTACCTATTCTGGACATTTACTACAAATCAAATCAATTGTGACTTAATATAATGTTTTTAAGATTCATTCATGTCATAATATGAATCAGTATTATTCCTTTTTATGGCCAAATAATGTTATATTGTATGGATAGACCATACTACATTTAGTTTATCAGTTCATTAGTTGATGGACATTTGAGTTGTTTTCATGTTTTGGCCCTTACAAATAATACTGCTGTGCCGAAATTCTTCAAACCAACTACTTCCAGCACCGTGAGCATTTTTTTTTTACAAAGGAAACAAAGGAATTACATGGTTTTGTTAGTTTCTGGGTTGTAGCAGTTGCTTTAAAGGTCTAAGATGCCAGATTAGTCTTTCTGAGTTAGGAGCTACTTTTCTGCTATTGCTTAAGCATGTGAGCTAGCAAAACTAACATTGCAAGGGGAGTGAGAGTAGAATGTTTTGAAAGAATTAGAAACTAGCTTTCTTACCTCCCTCCTCATCCCCACACTTGACTCTTTATGTGTTGTTTCCTCAGGAAAGGAGATGTGGCATTGCTGAACTGTACAGCCATTGTGAATACCAGCAATGAAAATCTTACAGATAAGAACCCAGTGTCAGAAAGTATCTTCATGCTTGCAGGGCCAGATTTGAAGGAGGAACTCCAGAAACTTAAAGGTGAGTGCATTTTGTTAGGTATTTATTCCGTAGGAAACATTTGCTTTGATATTTGAAGAAGCAGATTTTGCATTTGATGTGAGAAACTTATGTAAATGTTGTTGTTTTGCTGTTGTTAAACTAAATAAAAGCAGCTTTTGAAAACTCCACAATGTGTTAGAAGCTGAACATTGAGACTTTACTCTCAGTAAAACTCCTCTGTCATGTTCTTGAATTTTGAAATGACAATCTTTGTAGCCAGTTAGACCTTTGGTAGCATTTTCCTGTCTGTATACTTTCTTGCACTGATAATCCTTATAAAACAACTATTAAAATTTTTTTGTGTATGTTTTGATACTGATAGAGAATTATTTTTTTGAAATCTTCACCTGTGGATACGTTATTGATCTTAGAGCAAGAGGGAGGGAGGGAGGGGGAGAGAGAGAGAGAGAGAGAAACGTCAATGAGAGAGAGAAACCTCGTTGGTTGCCTCTTGTATGTGCCCTGACCAGAGATTGTACCCGCAATCTAGGTATGTGCCCTGATCGGGCATCAAACCCACAACCTTTCGGTATACGGACGACACTCCAGCCAACTGAGTCACCTGGCTAGGCTGATATGAAATGGACTTGTTGATAAACCCAAAGTGTATCGCAAAAGCAAACATATTCTTTTTCTATATAAACTTACTTTACTATTTTTTGACCACACAAACATTTAAATCTGTTTAACTAAAAATAAACAATATTTAACCACTGCACAGAAAAATTACCAAACTTTACCTCATTGCACAAAGAAAAAGCACTTCGAAAAAGCACTTGGATAAAAATGGCAAACATTTTTGTATCTTTTTTATACATTTTGTCATTTTCTTAAATTGAGAGCAGTTAAGACATTGTCAGAGCAATTTTCTGAGCTTCAAACTTTCCAATTTCCAGTTCAGACCAATCTTGCTATTATATGTATCCTTCTTCTAAGCATACAAAACACGTGAATTTTAAAAGAAAAAACAAAAATAAAGGACTAGAAACAATCCAACAGAACTATTTGGCTTTTCTTCCCAAATGTTTTATAATACACAAGACACTTTAAAATATGTCAGGATTTCTACTATGTAATATGTCCTATATTTAAAGACCACAGAATTGCAAATAATATGGAAATACTAATAAATTGGGGGGGGGGGCCCTCAATTTGAAAATAATATAGGAATAGCTAATAACATGCTCACATTTCTCAGGTTCAAGTAAGAAAGTGGATGGTTTGAAAATACTGTTTAAGGTCCCCTCAGTCCAGCTGCATGCCCCTGTGGTTTCCACATTAGTTCTCTTTTTACCCCTAGTCGACACTGGTAAGAGCCTAGTGAAAGATAACTGTCAACTAACACCTTCCAAACTACAACAGTATTGCACTTTTAAAATATTAATACTTCTGTCAAGAGCCATTCTAATGAGTCATTTACTGCACAAATATACCAATACATAAAAACTTTGAAAATCCCCACACTATCTTTACTTTTGACACATAAGATATAGAAATGGACAGAAGTGAAAAATTTGATAATCTCTGAACTACGTTTAGCTTTGGCATATAGGATTTAGAAATGGGCAAAACGAGTGATTATAAAAAAATTTTCATAATTATGTGTTGTTTAACCTATGCTAGGTAGTGGAGTAGGTGGCAGTTTAGGATTAAACAACTTCATAAAAATATAATGTGCTAAAAATGTGCCTGTATATTTAGCAAACATATTCTTGATTAATTTTGTACTTGCAACTGTTTTATTACTATAGCATTCTTTTTCTTGGGATATTTCTTTGGAAATGGGGATGGGAAGAGTCCTGTTGATTCAGAATCATGTGTACCTTAATTTGCATTCATTTTCTTAAATTACCAACCTGGCAACCTTTTGTTGTTATTTGAGTCCAAATGGAATATTGTGAAATTCAGTCATACAATTTTATAAAAAGTATTTGTGAAATACAGCAATGGTTCTTACAATGTAAGCAGCAAATCCCTCCTGTGTAGGATCTTGATTTATTTGACCTTTACCATTTAACACTGACAACTATTTTCTAACCTCATAATGCTGGCTCCATGAAAGAAGGGTGAGCAAGAGAAGAAACGCATTATCTGATTAAGAAACTGAGCATTGACTGTGAAGGCAATAGGAAAAAAGCCTTCAATTAAACTAAAAACACGATACCATGAAGAACACGTAGAAATTAGAAAACTTATTAGAGATATAGAGAGAAGGTTTTCGATAAAAGTAACAGAGAAGCTGGTCTGGAAAAATTCTTGATGGTGTGTGTGTATTTTCACACCTTAAAGTTGGACTTAAAGCTAAAAATGAAAATAATAAACTTTACTATAGGTACACAAGTAAAACCTTAATGTTTAACAGCATGTGTTTGAGAGTCTCCAAATTAGGGTTCATATTATAATTCCACCCTTTACTAACTATGTAACTTATGACAAGTTGCTTCACCTCTGAGCCTGAGTTTCCTTATCTCTAAAATGGCAATGTGATAATAGTCCCAACCTCAGTTCCTGACACAGAGCTCAGTGAGTATTTGGGGATGGGAGAAATTAATATGAAGACTAAATTAAATAATGGACATTACGTTTTGGGTACATCCTGAATGTTTAGTGTTGTTGCTGGTGATACCTACAGGCCTCAGTTGTGTTGATTAATGAAGATAGATTATTAATGATGCACTGAAGGGCTAGATGCTTCATCCTGTCCCTTTTCTATCTTTAATACCAACTCCATAAATGATTACAGAGTATGAGTTACCAAACTTGTGGGTGATAGAAAGCTGAGAAGATAATGGAAGACATTAGGTGATAGACTAAAGGTTTTTAAACACCTGAATTGACTGGAAGTATGAGCCAGAAAAATGCAAAACTGACAGGGATGGATATAAAAGCCTTGCATTAAGTTTAAAACATTACCCAAATCAGGGTAGGAAAGTCCAGTGTCACTACCTTTTTTTTTTTTTTTCCTTTAAAATTTATTTTTTCTTTATTGATTTTAGAGAGAGAGGAAGGGAGAGGGAGAGATAGAAACATTGATGAGAGAGAACATTGGCTGCCTCCTGCATACCCCCCACCAGGAATTGGGTCCACAACCTGGGCATGTGCCCTGACTGGGAATTGAACCAGCGACCTCTTGGTGCAGGGGTTGACGCTCAACCACTGAGCCACACTGGCTGGGCGTCACAGCCTCTCTTGTATATGAAAATATTGCTATCTCAGTGGCGTTATCAAACTTCCTCTTTCATTCAAGAAAACCTTTGGGTAGCACTTTCCTCTTCCTTATTCCTCATATAAAGTCTGTCAGCAAGCCCTAAATATATCCTGAAACTCTTTGTATCACCACTGCCTCCGACCCAGCCCATGCTGCCATCATCCCCTGCCTGGACTACAGCTGTAGCCTCCTTCCTGACTGGTCTCCTTGCACCCATTCTTCTTTTCTCCAATCTGTTTTTCACACACGGTAAGCATTTGCTTTTTAAATTATAAATCTTTTCTTATTGCTCTCCTGCTTCAAACCATGTAGTGGCCTCCATTACAATTAAAATAAAATCCAGACTCAAACTGGTCTCCAAGGCTTTGCAGGATCTCATTTTCTTGCCTCCAGCCTCAGGCTCATCCTATATCACACTTTCCCCTCCTCACCCTACTTAAACCGAACTGAGCTCTCATTGCCTTGTCATCCAGGCTTCTTGTCAATTTTGCATGTGCTATTGCTCTTCTTCTCAGGTCTCAACTCTTCTTTTTAAAAAAAATTTACTTTAAAAAATGTTTTTATTGATTTTTTTAGAGAGAGGAAAGGAGAGGGAAAGATAGAAACATCAGAGAGCAAGAAGTATCGATTGGCTGCCTCCTGCACGTCCCACATTGGATTGAGCCTGAAACCCGGGCATGTGCCCTGACAGGGAATTGAACTGCACCATCTTGGTGCATGGGATGATGCTTAACCAACTGAGCCACACAAGCTGATCTCAATTCTTATTCTTTTTTTTTTTTAATGTTTTTATTGATTTTAGAGGGAGAGGAAGGAGGGAGAGATAGAAACATCAATGTGAGAGAGAAACATTGATCAGCTGCCTCTTGCACACCCCCGACTGGGGATCGAGCCCACAACCCGGGCATGTGCCCTGACCAGGAATCGAACCGGGACCTCTCAGTCCATGGGACGACGCTCAATTCACTGAGTCACACTGGCCGGACTCAACTCCTATTCTTAAGTCTTTGCTTATATCTCTTCCTCAAAGCGCAGTTTCCTTTTATTTCAGAATTGATCAGTCTCCTTATGGTATGTGTTCCTAGCCTGTATTACTTTTCCTTTGTAATCTGATCACAATTGTAATTGTAAATTATTTGTGTCATGATTATGTCCTCATAAAATTTGAACTCCTTGAGGACAGGAAATGTATGTTTTATGGACCTCCATGTGTCTAGTACCAAGAATAGCGAAAGCATCCTTTAAGTAGCTGAGGAATGAATAGGAATTCCCTGGACTTTTCACTGACTAGACTCAGAGGTGATAATATTTAATTTTACTGGAAATGCTAATAATATCAGACTACTTCATTAGAGATACAGCATAAAAATTGAAGGTAACTTGTTATCAGCTTAAAATAGACTGTTATAAGATGTTTTATGTAAGCCTTATGGTAACTACAAAGAAAAAAACCCATACTAGATACACAAAAGAGAAAAGGAAAGGAATTAAAGCATTAATTAGTTTTTTAAAAACTGTGAAGGAAGACAGAAGAGAAACAAAGGAATTAAAAAAACACTCAGAAGACAATTAACAGAATGGCAATAGTAAGTGCTTACCTATCAGTAACTACTTTAAACATAAAAAGATTAATCAAAAGACACAGTAACTGAAAGATAAAAAATATAAGATCCAACAGTGTGCTACTTGTAAGAGACTCACTTTAGCTTTAATGACATAGGCTGAAAGTGAAGGGATGGAAAAGTATATTCCATGCAAATGGAAACCAAAAGAGAGCAGGAGTGGCTATACTTACATAAAATAGACTTTTAGTCAAAATTGGTCACAAGAGACAGAGAAGGTCATTATATGGCGAAAAGGGGTCAATCGATCAACCGACTATAACAATTATAAATATATATGCACCCAGCATTGAAACACCTAAATATTTAAGGCAAATATTAATAGAACTGAATGAAGAAATAGACACAATATGATAATAGTTAGACACCTCAATACCCCACTTTCAACGTTGAACAGATCATTCAGTCAGAAAATTAATAAGGAAACAATAGACTTGAATAACACTACAGACCAAATGAACCTAACAGACATACAGAACATTCTATCCCACAGCACCAGAATACACATTCTTCTCAAGCACACGTAACATTCTCTAGGATAGATCATGTATTGGTCCCCAAAGCAAGCCTTATCAAATTTAAGAAGATTTAAATCATATCAACTATCTTTTCTGACAACAGTGGTGTGAAACTGGAAATCAACAATTGGAGGAAAATGAAAAATATTTACAAGTACATGGAAAGTTAAACAACACACTCCTGAACAACAAATGGATCAAAGAAGAAATCAAAAAGAAAATCACAAAGTATTGAGACAAATGCAAATGAAAATATAACACACTAAAACTTTGGATGCAACAAAGCAGTTCTAAGAAATTTTAAAGCAATAAATATCTACACTGAGAGAGAGAGAAAACAATCTCAAACAACCTAACTGTAAGCCTCTAGAAATTAGAAAAAGAAGAACAATCTAAGCCCACACTTAGCAGAGGGAAGGGAACAATAAAGATTAAGGCAGAAATAAAATAAATAAAAACTAGAAAAACAATAGGAAAAATCAATGAAAAAGGAGTTGAGTTTTTAAAAAGATAAAATTAACAAACCTTTAGCTAGAATAACAAAGAAAAAAAGAGAAAAGACTCAAACTTATAAATAAAAGAGGAAATATCACAGCCGACACCATAAAAATTCAAAGGATAGTAATAGATATTATGAACAATTACATGCCAATATATTGGATACCTAGAAGAAATCGATGAATTCTAGAAACATACAACACAACAAGACTTAATCATGAAAAAACAGAAAATCTGGACAGACCAAAAGTAGTAAGGAGACTGAATTAGTAAAAAAAACAAAACAAAAAACCCAGTGCCCAATGGCTTCACTGGTGAATTCTACCAAAGGTTGAAAGAATAATTAATACCAATTTTTCTCAAATTTTCACCCCAAATTTGGAAGGAACACTTCCAGACTCATTTTATGAGGCCAGTATTACCCTGATACCAAAGCCAGGTAAACATATTACAAGAGAAGAAAACTACAGGCCAATAACCCTAGTGAATATAGATGTAAAAATTCTTAACAAAACACTAACAGAGTTCATAGAACATCAAAAAGATCATACACCATAATCAAGTGGTATTTATCCCTGGGATGCAAGGGTGATTTAACATATGTAAATCATTGTGCCACACCACATTAATAGAATGAAGGATAAAAATCATATGACCCTCTTAATAGATATAGAAAAAGCATTTGACAAAATTCAACACTTTTTATCTTTTTTTTTTTAATCCTCACTTGACATTTTTGCATGTATCTTCAGATATAGTGGGAGGGAGAAAGGGAGGAAGAGAGGGAAACATCTATGTGAGAGAGACACATCGCATGGTTACCACCCACACGACCCCAGCTGGGGCCTGGGACAAACTGCAACCAAAGTACGTGCCCTTAGTGGGAACTGAACCCGGGACTCTCTGGTCCGTGGGCCAACACTCTAACCGCTGAGCCAAACCGGCCAGGGCAACACTTTTTATCTTAAAAGCTCTGAACAAATTCATATAGAAGGGACATACCTCAACATAATAAAGGCCTTGTATGATAACCCATAGCTAACTCATCCAGTGGGGAAAGCTGAAAGCTTTTCTTCTAAAATCAGGAACAAGACAAGGGTGCCATCTCTCAGCACTCTCATTCAGTGTGGTACTGAAAGTTTTAGCAGAGCAATTAGGCAAGAAAATGAAATAAAAGGTATCCAAATCAGAAAGGAAGAAGTAAACATTATTTCTGCAGATGACATGATTATATATAGAGAAAATTGTCTATAAAGACTCCACCAAAAGACCATTAGAACCAATAAATGAATCCAGTAAAGTTTCAGGATATGAAATCAATATACAAAAATCATTTGCATTTTTATACATTAACCAATGAACTACCTGAAACAACGTCTTTTATAGTAGTATCCAAAAAGAATAAAATACTTAGGAATAAATTTAACCAAGGAGGTGAAAGATCTCAACACTGAAAATTATAAAACATGGATGAAAGTAACTGAAGAAGACATAAAGATATCCTATTTTCATTAAATGGAAGAGTTAGTATTGTTAGAATATCCATATTATCCAAAGCAATCTGTAGATCCAATGCAATCTCAATCAAAATTCCAGGGGCACTTTTCACAAAAATAGAAAAGAATCCTAACATTTGTATGGAGCCATAAAAGACACTGACTAGCTAAAGTCTTGAGAAAGAAGAGCAAAGCTGGAGGCGTCACTTTCTGGTTTCTGATTTCTGGTTTCTACAAAACTACAGTAATCAAAACAGTACAGTGCAGCATAAAACGGACACATAGACCAACAGAACAGACTCAGGAGCCCAGAAATAAACCTCTGTGTATGGAGTCAACTAATTTTTGTCGAGGGAGTCAAGACTTAATGGGAAAGGGCAGTCTTTTCAATAAATGCTGTTGGGAAAACTGGATACCACATGCATATGTGTAAACACATGTGTATGTACACATTATGTGTTATATAATATACACACACTGCAACATTCAGCCATAAAGGTAGGAAATCCTGCCATTTGCGACAACATGCATGGACCTTGATGGTATTATACTAACTGAAATAAGTCAGACAGAGGAAGACATGGTTTTATTTATATGTGGAATCTATAAAAAGCTGAATTCATAGAAACAATAGAATGGTGGTGGTTGCGGGTGGGGGTAGAAAATGAGGAGATGTTGCTTAAAGGGAATAAACCTCCAGCTATAATACAAATAAGTTCTGAGTCTTTACCGTACAGTATGATGACTGTAATTAACAGTTAATACGTATTATGTACTTGAAAGTTGTTAAGAAAGTAGATCTTAAATTCTGTCACTATTAAGAAAAAGCATAGTTATTTGAGGTGAATAGATGTGTTAACTAACCTTACTGGAATTATTTCACAATATATACATACATCTAGTCATCGCATTGTACACCTTGAACTTATGCAGTGTTTATTTGTCATTTATCCCTCAGTAAACCCAGGAGGGAAAAATAAGTACGGCATCAGAGTCAAGAGAGCCTGTGTTTTACTCTGTACTGGTACGACCTTATGGTGTACAATGTTCATCTTATTTTTTATAATGTTTTTTATTGATTTTAGAGAGAGAAACATTGATGTGAGAGCAGAACATCAGTCAATGTTGATGTTTTTCTAGTAGTACCACAACTTATATATGCTGTATTGTTCCCAGGGTGCCGGACCGGTGAAGCCAAATTGACGAAAGGATTTCATCTAGCTGCCCGGTTCATCATTCACACAGTGGGACCTAAGTACAAGAGCCGCTATCGCACAGCAGCTGAGAGTTCCCTGTACAGCTGCTACAGAAATGTCCTTCAGCTGGCAAAGTAGGGCTTACTCATTTCCTGGACTAGCATGCCATACATTATTAAAGGCCCTGGTTTTAAAATGAAAACTAACTATGGAAGTCAGAAATTGAGGGATTTAGACAATTTTGGAGGACGCTGAAGATAGAGTTAATTGTGTTCTCAAACTTAGCAGAGTAAAAGAAATAGCTTTGGGTGTCTTGACAATTTATTTTTTTAGTCCGCACCAGAGGATATTTTTCCATTGATTTCCAGATAGACTTGAAGGGAGGGAGGGAGAAAGAAACATCGATGTGAGAGAGACACATCAATTGGTTGCCTCCCGCACGATTCCCAGTCTGAACCTGCAACCCAGGTGCATGCCCTTGACCGAGAATCGAACCCGAGACCCCTCGGTCCACAGGCTGACACTCTAACCGCTGAGCCAAATGCCCAGGGCTGACTTGACAGTTTAACTTGTTCCCATTTTACTCAGTCTTTATTTGGAATATATTTCCCCCAAGTGGTGTAATTAAATTATATTGCATATTAATATATTAATATAATTATTAAATAACTTAATTGGGTTAACTATTACAGTAGATTTGTTGAAGGGACAGGGAAGGAGAAGGTAAGCTGCATTTTAAAATTAGCTGTGTATTATGAATGTTTGTAATATAATTTTTATGTTTTCTGTCCGATTGCAGAGAGCAGTCAATGTCTTCTGTTGGATTCTGTGTCATCAATTCAGCAAAACGAGGTTATCCTTTAGAGGATGCAACACACATAGCCCTTCGTGAGTAACACTGGAGACTGCACATAAATTTGCTTAGTTCTTCATAAATGGGATTCGGGGTTCTGTACATAAAGGGAGCCTTAAACATTTTTTTATCACTACCGAAATAGTTATAGCCAAAGAAGATTTGTTAATTGATCATGACATCCTGCAGGGAAGCCTGTATTGATAAAGTGCAGAGATCTCAATTTACTTTCTTGTGTTGATGTTTTTATCCATCTGAATGGAAGATTTGTCTATTAAATTTGAAAATGATACCAAGTTAAGAAGTATGGCCAGTGTATTGGGGATTTGAATCATATCTCACCATAATTTTAACAGGGTGCAACAGTGAAATCAAAACAGATTTTACAATATCAGATTCACATAGCACTTTGCAGTTTAAATCAAAGCAGCTTTCACATGTACTTTTTGAACATATAAAACCCTGAACTTAGATTTAAAAAAAGGCTGAGCTCAATCATTATGAGCCAAAATGTCATCTGTGTAATATAAAAATATGATATTCATCTTGAGAGGACCCATGATCTCACCATATATCTACCAAAAGATTACAAAAGTATGCAGGTTTCTACCACATCTAGAGTTTTGTATGTAGTTCTGCATTTCACATCTAATGAGATACAACCTGGAGGGCAAACAGTTTGAAACAGTATGGTAATGCTCCTAAAGAAAAGCATGCTTTTGGCATCTATGGGGCCCATTTGTCTGCAGGAGTCTCATTGAGGACTTATTCTATACTATGTTTTTAGGGCAGTGGTTCTTTAACCTCTTCAGGGAGTCATAAACTATCTTGGGCATCTGATGAAATAAAGCTGGGGACCCTTTCCCTAGAGGAATAGATGTGCATATAGAATTTCATGCTCTCTCAAGAAGTTCACAGGTCCTTGTAAGATCTTCTCCAACAGTAGAAGGCAGGTATGAGATCAAGTGAAAGGAAGGAGATTTAGTTCCATTTGAGACAAGACTGTTTGTGATAGAAAGGTATTTTAAGTGAACTTGTCATTGGGATGTTCGTGCAGAAGCCAAGTGACCATCTATTGCAGATAGTCCTCATTTGGGAGGGAAGCTCGAATAGATCTTTAAGATCCCATTCTCTCTCTAAAATTTCAAGATGAGGAGCTATGCCAGTTGGTGTGGCTCAGTGGATTGAGCATTGTCCCATGGACTGCGAGGTCCCACCCAGTTCGATTCCAGGTTAGGGCACATACCCGGGTTGCAGGCTTGATTGCCAGTGGGGGCTGTGGGGGTGTGTGTGTAGGAGGCAGTCGATTGATGTTTCTATCTCTTTCCCTTCCTCTCTCTAAAAAATCAAGGACAGCATATTAAAAAAAAACCATAAAGATGAGGAGCTAGTTGTTTTTATTGTTGAGTTGTAGGAGTTCTTGATACGAGTCTCTCTTCAGATATATGATTTGCAAATATTTTTTCTCATACTGTGAGTTGTCTTTTCACTTTATCGATTGTATAATTTGCAGGAACAATCTCACTTGGTTAGGGCATGGATTCTATTGGTAACAGCACAAGAGGGACATAGATCTACTTTTGAAGACCCTCCACTCTGCACCAACTCCTAAGTATCCACACTCCTTCTTAGAGTCAGAGCTTAATAAAAAACTAATTTCTTTATTATTGCCAAAGTAATGCATAATCTCTGTGAAAAAATACAAAAGTATATAAAATAAAAGTTGACTGCCCAGCCGGTGTGGCTCAATGGTTGAGCATTGACCCATGCACCAAGAGTTTACTGGTTCAGTTCCTGGTCAGGGCACATGCCCAGGTTGTGGGCCAAATCCTCAGTGGGGGGCATGCAGGAGGTGGCCAGTTGATGTTCTCTCTCTCCCTCTCTCTCTCTCTCAAAAAAAAATCAATAAAGAAAAAGAAAAGTTGACTTTCTTGACTTAATCCTTTACCTGCAACCAACTCCCTGTATATATACAGACATATGGTTTATTAACCAGGGAATGACACTTCTTATATATTGCCTTGTGATTTTTGGATTTAACAATTTCATGCATATTTTACATGGTAATAAATACATCTGATGTGTCATTAAACAAAAAATACATATGTGGAGCTAAAAGTCTTATACCTACCAAAAGATTACAAAGGTATTTGCATGTATAAAATTATTATATAGACTAAAATGTAGGGCAAGGGCATATTCAGTCTTACACAGTCTTATTTAATAACTAGCTGTTTTTAAAACTAAGCTCCTTACTGCTCAAGGATTTTATAGTAAATCTACATATTTTGTAGTTCGAGTATATATTTATATACATTATTTTAGACTGAACTTCTTGAGGCAGAGATCTTTTTATTTTTAAAAAATTCTCACTGGAGGGTATGTTTTTATTGATTTTAGAGAGAGAGGAAGTGAGAGGGAGAGAGAGAAAAATATTGATTTGTTGCCTCCTGTATGCACCCCGACTGGGGATCTAACCCGCAGCCTGGGTATGTGCCCTGATTGGGAATCAAACCTGTGACCTTTCAGTGTACAGGACAATGCTCCAGCCAACTGACCCACACCGGCCCGGGCGAGATCTTATCTTTTCATTTTGTATTTATAGTGCTTCTATATGTCAAGAATGCTTTATATGTACTTGCTCAAATAAATACGTATTTTAAAAAGGGATAAAGGAACTTCTTTTTATTGCCTCACCAACCCTGTGTTTTAGGTAGTATGATACCCATTTTACAAATAAAAGAGACTCAGACTTTATCATAGTCTCAGGGTTATTCAGACTTGGAATATATATCCAGGCCTTTTGACTCCCAAGTTTAGCAACCTGTTCGTTACGCTTGAGTTACAGCTGCTTCAGTGGGAAATCACTGTGTTATAGTTAGCCTCGTGCATTCTAAACGGTGCCTTACCAAAGCAGAGTTCCTGCCTTTATAGAAAGTTTCCTGGTGAGACTCTTGGCAGGTCTTGACATCCTCTGATTCCACTTATCCCTTGTTCTGATATTTCATAGCTTGAGCTAAGCCTTCTTTTATGTTTCAATTTCTTATTAAAGTAATCCATAGATTACTTTAGAAAAAGGCATTTTATAAAAAAGGCACTGAAAAAGGGAATCAAGAAGGCTGGTGTTTGGTCTCAGTTCTACTAGTCTGACTCTAGCTCCGAGGCCCCAGATAAATGACTTGCCAGAGTACCATAGAGGTTCAACTTTGAGCAGTAATTGTAGTAATAGCAGATAAAGATCAGTAGTAGCTATTAGTGTGTGAAGAGCCATAGTGTGAAGGACCTTCGTGAAGCAATTTCTAGGAATTTAATTAGCACAAGAACTGTAAAGCTTTAAGATAGTCAAGTTAATTTATATTCTATAAGGCAAATTTGACTCACTACACTTTAAATCTAGTAGCAAAAATAGAGCATCTCATTAAAACACATACACAGACGATTGAGCCCTTGGCTTGCATACTTTCTGAGCATTTGGGAAATAAATAGCTTGTATACTCTTGTAGCAGATATAAGCTACGAACAAATCTAATGATGTAACTTTAAGTCCTTAGTAACAAAACCTTTCTTATTAAAATTCTATGGAAATTTCTTTCATTTGAAACCTGAGTAATATCTTGATAGATATATCAAGACTATTTATCTTTTTTCTCAGTTCATGTGCAGTTCAGTTCTTCTCCAGAAGAAGCCTAAGGAAACATCTGCATTGAAATAAATGTATCAGGTTATTTATTCATTTAACAAAACTTTAAGTGCCTACTATGTGCTAGGCCCAGTGCTGTAGAGAAGAGGACACTGGTGAGAAAAACGACGACTGTTTTTGTTGTGTTTCCAGGTTGGGAATTTTAATGTCCCAGATGTCATTCTCCCCGGTTAAAGGGTTTTCATTAAAAGTTATGCTCATGACATCCTGGTGCACAGATGAAACGGAAAGGAAAAGCTTGGAGTGGCAGCTGGTACTACAGCCGCCTTATAACCATGACGTCACTTTTTCCCTCCTTTATGCAGAATTACTTTGAGTGAACTTTACTGAGGGAATTCAGTTTGATTGCTGTTTGGGATTGCATTATGTCTTCCAAAGGAAACCCCACAATTAAATGCTGGGAAACTTATGTGTGAACATTAAAACTTAGTGTCAGGATAAATAGGATAGAATAAATCCCCTTTTAAAAGTTTATTTTAAAAAAGTAAATAGAGGAGTAGAGGGAAAAATGAAAAGTGAATTTGTCACCTAAGAGAGGGGGAAGTATGAATAATTGTTCAGTCCTTCAACAGCTGGGTCTGCTCTGTTAGGTTCTCAAGATACAGTGGTGAGCAAGGCAGACAATATGTAGGTAACCAGAGCCATACCATGTTAATTCAGTCACTAGTTACTTTTGAATGATTGTTTGCCGTGTTTCTAAGGTGTGCTAGGCCCTGGTAATATTAATGTAACATACATTCATGTATTTTATGTATAATGTAAAATAGCCTTCAAAAAACTCAATCTACCTGTGAAGTGCTGTGAGTAGTTCACATATGGAGGGCAGCTCAAAACATTGTAAGAGGAGCAGAAGGGGAATGGAGTTCCACACAAAGGAGATGGCTTTTGACTGGGCCTTGAAAAATGAGTGGGAGTTCATGAAGGGAGCGTCATGGTGGCTGAATGGTATTCTAGTCAAAGGTAACCATGCACACACAGGTAGGGTAGCATAAAAGTAAGTGGCATGTTCTAAGTACAGCAGAGCTGATTTGGCTAAAGCATAAGGTGTGTGTGTGGGGGGAGGAGGGTACTAAAGGGCAGGGTGAGTGGTGGTTAGTTGAGGTCATATGTGAAGAGCCATTCTAGGGACTTTTGATCTTAACCTAAAAGCAGTGCAGAGCCATCAAAAATGTTTAGTAAAGAGGATAACATAAGAGATAACTCAGGCAGCCAGGCCAGTGTGGCTCAGTAGTTGAGCATCAACCCATGCACCAAGAGGTCGTCAGTTCGATTCCTGGTCAAGGCACATGCCCAGGTTGTAGGTCAAATCCCCGGCGTGGGGCATGCAGGAGGTGGCTAATCGCTGTTCTCTCTCATTGATGTTTCTGTCTCTCTCTCTCTCTCTCTCGCCCTCTCTCCAAAATCTAAAGAAAGGAAAAAAGGTAACTCAGGCAACAGTGAATATGTAGACTTGGAGGGGAGAAACAGGCGGACAGTTAAGGACTTACTGCCGAAGTCTTTTAAAGCATTGAGAGCCTGAGAGCTGCTAGAAGAAAGAAGGAATAGATGTTGGAAGTATCAGCAATTGAATTTAAAGAACATGAAAGCCATAGAAAGTGTAGGGTGGAAGAGATGAAGTAAGTGCCACAGAAGTCAGGATTCTAGGTTGGGTGAGGGGGTGGGTCTTGCTATGCAACTGGAATAAGGGATCAAGGTAAAGGAGTAGTTTAGGGGGCAAAGATGGAGGTCAGGTTTAGACCTTTTGGAATCAGATTTAGACATGTTGAATTTGAGGTATCTTTGTTATGTGGGCAGATGTGCCCAGTAAGTGGTAGGGAATTCAGGATTTTTTGTTTAGCAGAGTATAAAGATTTGAGAGCGTCAGCATTTGGGATAGTACCTAACCAGCAAATTAGTGAGCTAAAGAATATGTATGTCAAGAAAATAAAACGTGTGGAGGACAGAACCCTGGAAATACATTTTTAAGATGGGGCATGGGCATGTAGAAATAAAGGCAAAGGGATCTCTAGTAAGTTAAGGAAAAGGCCATCAGATCTCATTATTAGGAAGTTGGTAGAAAAGAACCTGGATAATTCAACTTTGGATTGGTGGGATATTGATAGGAATGAAGGGCTGAGGAGGACATCTAATAATGTAACTCAGGTTTTCAACTGGTGTACCACAGGGAATTTTAAAACATGCAATACCTGACTATTTAGTCAGGGGCACTGACCTCTTTTCCCTGAAATTGTCAAATTGCCAACACAATAGTTGTCAGGTGTGAATAAATCAAAATTATACATATCTTTTTGTCAGATCAGCAAAAAATATAGTTTTTGGTGTGCTGCAGAATTTTAGTAATTAGTTTATGTGTACCGTGAGAGAAAAAGGTTGAAAATCACTGATGTAGCTGAATGAATGAAAAGACACTTGTGCTGGATCATTCTGGTAAGAGAGAGTGGCCACAGGGAATAAAAAGAATGTACTAGATTAGGGAGAATTGTCTGGAATCAGCATCTTGTACGGCCAGGTGCTGTTCTAGACACTGACAGTAAAGCAGTAGGTAAAATAAAGCTTTTGCTGTTGTAGCTTTCATTCTAGTGGATGGGGGGTGGGGGCAGGGAGGAGATACAGTAAATAAGAAACTGCACGAAATGTCTGGAATAGTTGCTGTGGGGGAAAGTAAATCAGGAAAGGCTTTTTTAAAAGGCTTCACTGATAAGGTGTCATTGAGCAGAGACTTGAATGAAATGAGTGATCCATTACAAAAATAAAACTTTGAAGAGTTTGATTTTTCTTCATGTGCAAGTAACTTCTTTTTTATTGAATAATCTTTCTATTTTTTTTCTTAGGCACTGTAAGGAGATTCCTAGAGGTTCATGGGGAGACCATTGAAAAAGTAGTATTTGCTGTCTCTGAACTTGAAGAGGTATTTTGCTAATTATGTTGCATTGTTTAAATTTTACAGACCAATATCCATTATAAATAGAAATGTAAAAATCTGTAACAAAATATTAGCAAACCAAACCCAGCAACATAAAAGGGTTATATACCATCACCAAGTGGGATTTATCTTAGTAGTGTAAGGTTGGTTCAACATACAAAAATCAGTCAATATAATGTACCATAGTAATAAAATAATGGATAGAGTAATAGAATAAAGGATAAAACCACATGATCATCTCAATAGATGCATAAAAATCATGGGACAAAACCTGACACCCTTTCATGATAAAAGCACTCAAGCTAGGAATAGAAGGGAACTTCCTTAACCTGATAAAGGGCATCAGTGAAAGACCCCTAGCTAACATTACACTTAATGGTGAAATACTAAAGCTCTCTACCTAAGATCAAGGAACAAAACAAGGATGTCCACTGTCACCAATTCTATTCAACATTGTACTGCTTCTGCCAGGGTATTTAGGCAACAAGAAGAAATAAAAAGCACCCAGATTGGAAAAAAAGAAATAAAACTATATCTATTTGCAGATGACATGATATTGTATATAAAAATTCTAATTAAGTCTATAAAAATGCTATTAGAACTAAGAGAATTCATCAGGGTTATGTATACGAGCAATATAAAAAAATCAATTGTGTTTTCTGCACTGCCAGTGAATAATCTGAAAATGAAATTAAGAAAACAGTTCTATTTACAATAACATCAAAAGCAAACAAATGTTTAAGACTAAACAAAAAAAGTGTAAGACATGTACATTGAAAACTATACAATACCTTTGAAAGAAATTTTAAAACACCTAAATAAATGGAAAGGTATCCCTATTCATGAATTGGAAAACTTAACATTGTTAAGATGGTAGCATTCCCCAAATTATTCTATAGATTCAACAAAATCCCTATCCACCCCAACTGACATTTTTGTAAAAATTAATAAATTGATCCTAAATTTCACATGGAAATGCAAGGAACCCAGAATAGTAAAAAGCAACAAACCCAGAACCTTGGGAGAAAAAAGTTGAAAGATTTACACTTAACCTATTTTGAAACTTATTCAAAGTCTAGTACTCATGACTATGTGGCACTGTGGGAGAATAAACATGGGTCAGTGGGGTAGAATGTTTGCCAGGGCTGCCAAGACTGTTCAGTGCAGAAAGAATAGTCTCATCAACAGATGGTATTGGAGCAGTTGGATTTCCACATGCAAAACAAAGAAGTTGGGCCACTACCTTACATTATATACAAAAATAAGTAAAATTGGACATAGGATTTAAGCATAAAAGCTAAAACTAAAAACCGTTAGAAGAAAACACAGATACAAATCTTCATGACTTTGGATTGGGCAGTGGTTTCTTAGATATGACATCAAAAGCACAAGCAGCCAAAACAAATATAGATCAATTGGTCAACTCTAATAATTCAGTAATAAAAAGATAACTCAGTTTAAAAATGGGCAAGAATTAGTATTTACCTAGAGGAATTGAAAATTTATGCCCTCAGAAAAACTTAACACAGGATGTTTATAGCAGCTTTATTCATATTTGCCAAAGCTTGGAAGAAACAAGGTATCCTTCAGTGGGTGAATAGATAAAGAAACTGTGATATATCCAAATAGTGGAAGATAGTACAGTGCTAAAAATAAATGAACTATTAAGCCATAAAAAGCTAAGGAGGAAACCAAAATGTATATCACTGAGTGAAAGAAACCAGTCTGAAAAGGTTACATACTAACTGTTTGCCATTTCTGAAAAAGGCAAAACTGTATAGACAATAAAAAGACCAGGGTTGGGGGTGAGGGAGAGAGAAACGGGCAGAGCACAGAGGATTTTTAGGGCAGTGAAAATACTCTGTATGGTACTATAATGATGGATACACATCATTATACAGTTGTGTAAACCTACAGAATGTACAACACCATTTTCAACCCTAATTTTAAATATAGGTAATTGGATGTGACATTGTGGGTTCGTCAGTTTATAACAAATATACCACTCTGGTGGCTGCATGTGTTGGGGTGGGAGATATGGGAAATCTCTGTACCTCCTCAATTTTGTATTGAACCGTAAATTGCTATAAACAAAGTCTTCTTTTTAAAAATGGGCAGAAGTTTTAAATAACAATACTCCTGAAAAGATACACAGATGACCAATACGCACATGAAAAGATCCACAACATTTACTGTTAGGAAAATGCGGATCAAAAACACTATATCCGCTAGTATGGCTATAATCACATAGATGATAACAAGGGTTGGTGAGGATGTATAGAAACTGGAACCCTCATACATATTTATATAGTGAGAATGTAAAAGTATGCAGCTGTTTTGGAAGCCAGTTTGGCCGTTCCTCAAAAAGTTGAACAGAGTTTCCAGTCTTAGGTACATACAGAAGAGAATCGAAAACATATTCCCACACAGACATTTGTACATAAAATATTTATGTCAGCATTGTTTATAATAGTAAAAAAATGGAAACAACCAAATGTAAACTGATGAATTGACAAACAGGTGTGTCTGTGCATACAACAGAATATTATTAAGCTTTAAGAGGAAAAGAAGTACTGATACAGGCTACAGTAGAGGTGAACCTTGAAAATGTTACACTGACTGAAAGAATCCAGACACAGAAGCCCGCAGCCTGCTCCGTTTTTATGAAATGCACAGAATAGGCAGATCTATGCTGGCAGAAAGCAGATTAGTGATTGCCAGTGACCGAGGGAGGAAAGGCGGTGACCTAGCTAATGAGTTTAGATTTTCTTTTTAGGATGACGAAAACGTTCTGGAATTAGATCAGGTGATGATTCTACACCTTTGTGAATATACTAAAACCCACAGAATTGTAATGCTTTAGAAGGGTGAATTTTGTGGTATGTGAATTTTATCTTAATTTTTTTAAAACTGTGAAGTCCTGGCCGGTTTGGCTCAGTGGTTGGAGCGTTGGCCCACAGACCAAAGAGTCTTAGGTTTGATTCTGGTCAAGGGCACATGCCTTGGTTGCAACTCAATCCCCGGCCCTGAACAGGGTCATCTGGGAGGCAAGCAATTGAAGTGTCTCTCTCACATCGATGTTTTTTTCTCTCGCTCCTCTCCTCTCTTCCCTTCTCCCTCCCACTCTATTTGAAGATAAATGGAAAAATATCCTCGGGTGAGGATTAATTAACAAAAATAATAAAATAAAAAAGACTATAAGATGGTGTCTTCAGTTGTGTGTATCTACCTTATATACTTTATACATGAAAGATGATGCAATAGGTGACAATAAAACAGACAGATCATGATTTCTTGAATAATTTTATTATTTTTCTAAGTAATTCCATTATTCTTTGGTTTCTTATTTTATTTTACTTTTTTTTTTGTTAGTATAGTTGGGAATAATTGATGGCTAATAAAATAATTTCTATGATGAAAAAGGTACAGGAAAGATAAGAGCACTAAATGCCTATAAATGTATCATGGATTTATAAATGTGTCCAATGAACCAACCCATATGGGAATTATGAGATAGAATGAGTTTCATTCTGATTTTCTTTTTTAATTTACTTTGTTCTTTGGGAAACTTCTAAAGAAGAATAAAAGTCTTGAAATAGCAATTCTTCACAAAGACTTAGCAGTATTAAAAAAAAATCATCTCTAAAACTAAATCAGGTCAGTGGACCTTGATGACACACTCAGGATTGAGGAGGAGCATCTGAGCTGAATCTTGAAAGACAAATGTCGCTAGTAAGGTGAAGAATAGGGAAGGGGACAGGAGTGGCAGGACTTACATATTCCAGGTCTAGCCACCTGGAATTGCTAGAACGGGAATCATGTTAACTAACTAATGATGTCCTGATCTTTAACACAGAACTGATGGAGGGTCCAGGCAGCATCTAGTCTGAGCTTAGAGGAGGTAAGGTCTTTCTCCTTGATGGAGGGTGTCTTTACGGTGTTTGAATAGCACTAAGCAGATTGCAGATGCCTGCTTCTTTACTTCGTGGTTTGTCACAGAACATCTTGCTTTTCTGACACAGGCTACTTACCAAAAGCTGCTACCTCTGTACTTCCCAAGGTCTTTAAAGGAGGAGAGTCGATCATTGCCGTACCTACCTGCAGATATTGGAAATGCAGAAGGGGAGCCTGTAGTACCTGAACGGCAGATTCGAATAAGTGAGAAACCTGGTGCCCCTGAAGGTGAGTTCTGCCTTTCTTTTTCTTTCTTTCTTTTTTTTTTAAATCCTCACCCGAGGATATCTTTCCATTTATCCTCAGATAGAGTGAGAGGGAGAGAGAGAAACATCGATGTGAGAGGCTCACCGACTGGCTGTCTTCCACACGACCCTGACCAGGGCCAGGGACCATCCGTAACTGAGACACATGCCCTTGACTGGAATCAATCCTGGGACTCCTTGGTCTGCAGGCCAATGCTCTAACCACTGAGCAAAACCAGCCAGGGCGAGTTCTACCTTTCTTAATCTCCCTCTTAAGGAAGTGAAGGGACTGATCACCAAAGAAGTGGGAGGTTGCGGTTTGTCTCCAGCCCTGGTTGGGGTTGTGTGGGTGGCACCCAGTCGATGTGTCTCTCTCATATCGATGTTTCTCTCTCTCTCTCTCTCTCTCTCTCTCTCTCTCTCCCATCTCTCCTTCCTGCTCTATCTGAAGATGAATGCAAAAATGTCCTCAGGTGAGGATAAAAAAAAAAGTCTCTAGAAGGCTCCTGATCTTTTAATCATCAGTACACAGTCTTAGATAGCGGAAATTATAAATGATGCAGCATCAGGAAATGTGTCTGAACCCCGCTGTGCCAGAGGAGTACCCATGTACTCTAGGTGGCCTCCAAGAGAGTACACCTTTGGATTATGTGCAGAGGCTTTTGGAAATCCTCATAGTTGTGATCACCATTATAGAATATAACTGCCTAAATGCATAAAATTTATAAAACAAGGAGTAGTGAATAGCAACACCAATGAGATGGCATTGCTGGGCAGTAGATGAGACTAACTCATTAGCCAAAGGCTAATGAGATACAAGTGTTTGATTTGCGTTTGTATTTCAGGAAATATTGTTACTGCATAGATATAAGCCTAGTGGTCATAAATATTTTCAATTAGAATGTTAAATCTTTTAAAATAGATGTAAAATCAGCTGTACTTGAGGGATTAAGAGAAGATTTATGGGTATTTTTAAAAAATAAAAGCAGACTTTTGTAAGCTGGGGGCCTGTTGCAGCCTGGAGCAGTAAGCAGATGTGAAGCAGTCCCAGCTGGCGACCCCCAGGCTGAGCTTTCGGTGGTGGCATTGCCTTAGCAAGCTTCCTGTGGTCCAAGGGTTTTGTTAGTTTTTCTTTTAAAAATTTTTTAACATCTGGTAAGGCAGTGGGGAACACACTAAGACACGATCCATTCCCAAGAGACTGGCTTCTACTAGCCAAACGTAAAATGATCATATGGATAAATCAGAAAGCGAACTTATTAATTTGTAGTGAGAACTATAATTCTTATGGACTAGAATGTAGGCATGACCGGTGTAGGAAACCAGGATGCTAAATTAGAATCTGAACCTACCTTAGTGAATGTGGATTATACCCTGCAATCTTGGTCCATCCAACTTCCTTCCTTTACCTGACCAAAGGACTGAAGTGTATGTGCCAATCAATCAGGTGCTCCCTCCTTAAATAGTTCTGGATAAATGACCCGACCATTTGTTGGTTTCCTTCGTTATCTTAGTTCTTCAAATGCCTAAATCTGATTTCACTTTCATTCTCAAGACAGAACCTTAATTCCCCTTTTTTAAGCTAGCTCATAGTCATCCTTATTGCGCATTCACAGTCTGTAGTACTTACTGTCAAGTTTTGTCTTAAGCTCTCTAGTGATGGTATTTTTGTTACAGACGACCAAGAAGAGGAGGAAGAAGGCTTGGGAGTTGATCTTTCTTTCATTGGCTCACATGCTTTTGCCCGAATGGAAGGAGATATTGATAAGCAAAGAAGACTAATCCTTCAGGGACATTTGTCAGAGGCAGCCCTGCAGAAGCAGCATCAGAGAAAGTAAGGCAAACCCCTCTGGCCTGAAAGACACCTAAAGACCCAGGAAAGAAGAAAGGGCCTTACAGCTGCTAAATGATTTATGTATATGTTCTAATGTATTCCTATGAAGGTCCAGTGAGGATGATATTGTCCTCGTTTTGTAATGCAGAAATTTAAAATTAATTTATCAGTGGTCACAGTTATAGTGTGTTGAAGCTAGTGTTGAGATGCATATCTGATTTCAGAGCTCCTGTTCTTTCTACAGTATTGTAGTGCATCTGGGTGAGGTTCTGTTGTACAGGTAGAAACTAGGGAAAGGGAAAGGCAGACTTACAAAGATTTTACCTAACTTTACTGTGTGTATAATTAGAACATAACCTACAGTTTAATTACACTTGAAAGAGCTTTATTTTTCCTTGACTTATCCTAAGGACCTTACAAAACCATTCCATTTCTTTCAGGTGTTTTTTTAAAAGCAATTCTGAATAAATCCTCTTTGAAACATAAAGTGACCCTTCCCGCAGGTCGAGCAACGAGGACTCTAGAGGGGGAGTGAGGATGAGGAGGGACAAGAGACACGAGAAATGGAGACAAGACAGGGTTCTGATCAAGTCTCGTTTATTCAGGGGGAGTTCACATAATATGTAGGGGAAAAACAGGTGAAACAGTTAATGAGTATCCCACCTGAAGCAAATTCCAGTAAATACCCCAGGTGGAACAAATGATAAGCAAAGAATGGAGTAAACAATTATCTAGAGGAATGCAGACACTGTATTCAGAGAGACCCCGCCCTGGGGCCGAGACGGCAGAGCAGACTGCAACAAAATGGATGCCATGCAAAAGTCTCCCACAATAAAGAAAAGCAGCTTTTGTACGTCTGGGTAAGCTTTTCCAAGAATTGACAGTTCTTTGAAAGCTAGCTGCTTTTCAAAAAAAATAAAAAATAAAGGAAGGAAAAAAATCATAAACTATAAATGGTTATAGAGTTGTTTGAGGGGAAGACATCTCATATGGTTGTGAACATTAAATAAGATAATGTCATGAGCCCTGGCCGGTTTGGCTCAGGGTTAGAGCGTCAGCCCGCTGACCAAAGAGTTGAGGGTTCAGTTCTGGTCAAGGGCATGTACCTCGGTTGCGGTTCAGTCCCCAGCCCTGGTCTGGGTTGTGTGGGAGGCAACCAGTCATGTGTCTCTCTCACATCAATGTCTCTCTCTCTCTCTCTCTCTCTCTCTCTCTCTCTCTCTCTCTCTCACACACACACACACACACACACACACACCTGGTACTTAGTAAGCTCTTAAAATTGGTCACAATTCTCTTCAATACTGGGCATTACAATAATGGTCTATTTTACCTTTGAGCTTTGCTACTTAGCATCCCTTTGGATGGGAGTACTCTCATCCTTCAGTTCCTGTCCATTCTCCAGGTTTCAGCTCAGAAGGGACGGCTTCTGGAAACTTACCTTGCTGGAGATAAGTTGGAATAGAAATCTGGAGTAGATTCCTCCTCCTATATGCTTTCTCAGACTGTACTTAACCAAAGCCTAGCCTAGCATTTATCCACCATATTTAATGATATGTGGTTGTTGTCAGTCTCCATCTGTGAAGTGAGAGCTGGACTAGGTGATCTCTGAAGCCCCTCAGAGTTAGAATTTTGTCTTCTGAGTTCCTGGTCTTCACTTTATCCTGATTTAATTTTTATAAACAAAAGCAAAGTAGCCACTAGGGGGCACCAATAAACAGCCTTTCCGAAGGCAAGCAATTGCACAATCTAATGATAGTTTCGGTGATTTCTAAACTTGGCCATATGTAAGAATCATTTGGCAAACATTTTTCTTTGAAAACGGTGACTGGGCTGTCCCTCATGTGCCTGGGACTATGACATCTACATATACAGTATTTTAAAGCTTTTTTACATCATGATTCATGCTCTGCTAGATTGGATACCTCTTTTGGTCTAGGGCAGTTTTGGTCTAGAACTGTTTGTTCTCAGGTCCCCTTTGCACTCTAAAAAGTTGCTCCCAGAGAGCATTTGTTTACCTAGGTTATACCAGCTAATATTTATCATACAAGAAATTATTAATTCATTGAAATATAACATTTTTATGAAAAATAACTTTTATTAGAAGAGTGGCACTGTTTTACATCTTTGCAAATCTTGTAATGTTTGGCTTAGTAGAAAACAGCTGGCTTCTGATATCAGCATTCAAACTATAGCAATAAGTTGTTTGGGGTGAAGGATATGAAGAAAATCTGATACCAGATATATAATTGAAAAAGGGAGGTTCAGTAGCCTTTTTAAATAATTGGGGATATTTTTCTTTGATATTGCACCATAGCTTGATACATAGTAGTTTCTTTTTTTTTATCCTCACCTGAGGACATTTTTTTCAATTTTTTGTTCAGATAGAGTGGGAGGGAGAGAGAGAGAGAGAGAAACATTGACGTGAAAGGGACACATCGAGTGGCTGCCTCCCGCATACCAACCAGGGCCAGGGACAAACTGCAACCGAGGTACGTGCCCTTAGCGGAATCTGAACCTGGGTCTCTCTGGACTGTAGGCCAACGCTCTAACCACTGAGCAAACTGGCCAGGGCCATAGTAGTTTCTTAAAGTTTAGTCGTAATGTGTAATTGCAAACCGTATCCGTGAATTTTTATATTCTGTTATATTCAAATGTATTATTTGATTCTGCTCTTTGAATGGCTTTTATAATAGGAATTTAGAGCATTAATTTATAACATGATGTATTGATCTTTTGAAAAATATTGATTCAGTGAATTATTCAGATCTTGCAAATATTGATACCTTTTACTACATATTATCAAAAGATTATATTTGTGGGTTTTTTTTGTTTGTTTCTTATTAATATTCACCTGAGGATATTTTTCCACTGAGTTTTAGTTAGAGTGGAAAGGAGGAAGGAAGGGAGGAAGGGAGAGAGGGGGAAGGAGAGTGAGAGATCAATTGGTTGCCTCCCACACGACCCCAACTAGGGCCGGGGATCGAACCCGCAACCCAGGTATGTGCTCTTGACAAGGAATGGAACCTGTGACCTTTCAGTCGGGGGGCTGACGCTCTAACCGCTGAGCCAAACCAACCAGGACAAAATATTATGTTTGTTAATATCACCACTGATATCATCAGAAAATCTTTATGTATTATGTAAGCTTCTAGGGATAGATACAAATTTTTCAAAATTATATTATTTTTTAAAGCTCAAGTTTTATCATTGGCAATAAATACTGTTGTTTGTTTTTCTTACAATGTCAGGGTTGCTTTATTCATTTTTGGCAAAACATCTGCCAACGATTCATGTAGAATAACTATACTTTGTCGGTCATTATTTGAAGAAAGCGATGATCCATGAAAAAAAGCAACTGGTTCAGCTTGCAAGTCCAACACACAGTGCATTTCTTCAAGTCAGCTTCATACTTCAGTGTGCAGAAGTGCTTTGTGTGTTTTCCCATTTTGTGACATTAGTGTGTGTGTGTGTGTGTGTGTGTGTGTGTATATATATTTTAAACCCTCACCCGAGGAAATTTTTCCATTGATTTTCAGGTAGAGTGGGATGGAGGAGGGACAGAGGGAGGGAGGGAGGAAAGGAGAGAGGGGGAGAGAGAGAGAGAGAGAGAGAGAGAGAGAGAGAGAGAGAGAGAGAGATGAGAGAAACACATTGATTAGTTGTCTCCCACATGTGCCCAGACAAGGGCTGGGGAATGAACCCACAACCTAGGTATGTGCCCTTGACTGGGAATCAGTCCCGTAACCCTTCGGTTTGCAGGTCTTTACTCTCACCACTGAACCACACCAGCAAGGGCCAAAACTATTTTTTTAACGTTGCTAAGATTTATTTGCCATTTTAATTCTCATTCTCAGAGTGTTCAGTGGGGTTTTTTTAGAGGCTGTTTAATGTGTGATATTGCAGTAAATTGAATGCAGAAGCAGATGTGAGAATCCAGTAGAAATGAAAGATTTGCAAAAATGTAAAGGAGTAACTCTTCTCCCTAACTATAGTCTTTTCCATAAAAACTTGTATTTACATAATAGATTTTTGTTGTAAAATTAATAATTATTTTTTAAAATTCTGTTTTTATTTTTTAATTTTTTTTTTTTTTTTTTATCCTCACCCGAGGACATTTTTTCCATTTTTTGTTCAGGTAGAATGGGAGGGAGAGAGAGGAACAGAGAGAGAGAGAGAAACATCAATGTGAAAGGAACACATCGAGTGGCTGCCACCCGCACAGCCGACCAGGGCCGGGGACAAACTGCAACCGAGCTATGTGCCCTTAGCGGGAACCGAACCTGGGTCTCTCAGGACCGCAGGCCGATGCTCTAACCGCTGAGCCAAATCGGCCAGGGCTGTTTTTATTTTTAATATGGTAAATATTAGTACATATAACTGACATAACCTTAAAAGGGTCCAGAGACCCAAAAGGTTGAGAATTAATGACTAATTGTTTAGGAGTTTATGATATAACGGAACTATAAGCCATCTGTTTGCATACTCTGCCATGTGCTAAATGTTTAAGATTGCAGGTTATAATTTTAAAAATTGATTTCTCATCTTTTTAAATCAGGCTTTTATTTACATAAAACAGTCTGGTTTTTGTTGATTATGTTAGTTGATCAGGTTGAGCTAATGATGCATTTTTCTGAGGAAGTAATTAGGTCTTTAGTTAGCGATATCTGTTTGAAAGCCTTCAATTCTTCATCAGTAACAAAACTCAAGTTCACATGGATTGGCTAAGTTAGATCATTTCTTTCGTAGCATTGCCTTGTGACATCAGTATCTCTGTGTAGTAATTCTTTTTAACATCTAAAAAAAGCAGACATATTGTTGAATTCTTTTTTTGTTTGTTGTTTTGTTTTCTTGTTAATCCTCACCTGAGGATATTATTCCATTGGTTTTTATAGAGAGTGGCAGGGAGGGTGGGATGGAGTGAGGGAGAGAGAAAGATATGAAGAGAGAAGTGAGATGTAGAGAGACACGTTGATTGGTTGTCTTCCACGTTCATCCCA